CTCCTCAGTGAGGGCCTAACGAGAAAATGAGAAACACTTAACCAACCTTACTAGTACGGCATTCTCAGTGAGAGGAGGTTGACAAAAAGAAGAAGAAGAGGAGGAAAGTGGAGGCAGGAGGAGAGTTTCTTATTGGCTTACTGATCTGAAGGTGTTGGGCGTGAAATGGAGGGAGCTGCAAGAGCTGTCTGTTTGTGTGTATTTGTGCGTGTGCAGGTTTGATGAAATATGGTCCCACGTAGATCAGCAACCTGCAACTCTGACTCTACAGTGAATCCGACTCCAGCTTTACAGAACAGATGTGAAAAAACACAGTTTCTCTTCCTCTCCCTCCCTCTCAATTTTCAATTTCAATTTCAATTTCAATTTTAATTTTAATTTTAATTTTAATTTCAATTTCAATTTCAATTTTAATTTTAATTTTAATTTTCTCTCTCTCTCTCTCTCTCTCACACACACACACACACACACACACACATGCACACTAACAAACACACACACCATCTGACCCCACAACAGTCTGCATGTCTTCATGATAATCTCCATGTCCTGGCTGTTCAAAGCGTAGGCCCCCTGTCTCATCACTTAAATAACCGAGAAATGCCCACTGTGCAAGGAGATAAGAGGACCTTTCATCGAGTGCTTCCAGATAGGAACGAGTGTACTCTCATATACACACACACACACCAAACACATGCATGGGCAGATGAGTGCCAACTGACAGAAGCTCCCTACTGCTGAGTGTTATAGCTGAAAGGGGGTTGAACAGACAACCAAGAGGATATAATAGTTTTCTTCTTGGTTGTGATTGAACTTGTGGAATGAACTAAAGTTGTTTTCCCCCCCCCTTCTAGTTGTGACTGTCAGTTGGCTACATTTGTACCGCTATGATGTAAAAAGTCTTGCCTTTACATGTTGTCATTTTTCTGCTCGAAACGATTTCTCTAGAAAAAGGTGTCTCTATTCTTGAACTGTTCACCTGCTGTGTCTGGCATTCCTTCTGTTAATCATCTGCACATGGTTAGCCTTTGTGTGGTGCCACGCTAGACAAGCAGCATTTTTCAGTGTGAAAATGTTTGCAGCAAGTTTAAACTTCTGCAGGTTTCCCTCGACTCATTGAATTGATGAATCCAAATTTTGCCCTAGTTGCAAATTTAGGAACCTTGACAGGTTGGGGGAACTTGCTGAGACATTTCCTGCTCTCACTCGTCTCTCTTTCTGTGAATCTTTTGTCTCTGCATGAGCCGACTCTACGTCTTTTGATTGATGGTGCTTTGATTGAGTTCACTTTCAGAGTGATGTTCGGGTGATTTCCCCTCTGCTTACAACAGACAGGATAGCTGTCAGAGAGTCTGTTGGCTTGCTGACATGCAATCCGCTGTAGGTCGGGAAAAGAAAAGACGAGACAAACGGGAGATGGGCCTTGACAACTTGTTGGACTCTGAACAGAACAGTAGGACTTAAACATATAGGGGCAATCGTTCCTTTCAAACAAGCTCAAGTGTTTTAGGCACACAACAGATGAGAAAACGATCATTTCTGAACACGCCTCACAGCAGTTGTGATTTATTGTTTTGGGCAGTGTTTCAGCACTTGGATATCTTAAATGATAGTGGAAAAAAAGGATTAAGGACTCGCCTGGGAGGGAGGAATGTTTTGCCCGATTGTGCTGTTGACTGGGGGTGTTCGGATGTGTGCAATAAGGTGGAGCTGACATAAAGTGTTTGCATAGTGATTGGTTGTAAGTCACTCAAGGCTACTTACATGCATTGTATTGGTTCAAATGTTTGAGTCCTTGCTTAACAAAAGGAGACAAAAGCAGAAAGAGAGGGACAACCAGATGACAGTTGTATGCAGTTAAAGATCGAATAAATGTCTTTTACAATATTTTATGACACAGAATCTAAGCTGCTGGTTCATACCAGAGGAGAATGTGTGGTCTGGGTTTTACACTTCACAAGTGTTGGAAAGGAGGGGTCTCTTGTGTCTCTAGGAGGGGGGGGGAGGGGGGCTTGTCACCTCTCTGAATTCTGTCATGCTTACAAAAGACTTGTTTGTTTTCTTGTGTAACTGACTGCCACCTCCCACTAACTGACCAAACACTGCTGTGGGCATTACACAGAAGAGTTCGACAGGGGCTTTGCCACCTTAACTGTCACCCATGTGAGTGAGAAATCAGGACAGAGAGAGAGAGAGAGAGAGAGAGAGAGAGAGAGAGGGAGAGGGGAATAACATGCTGGAAAGGAGCCACAGGTCAGATTTGAACCTGGGCTGCCCACTTAGAGGACTAGAGCCTCTGTGCGGCAAGCGCCCTAACCACTTGTCCACTGGCACCCCCTCATTTCATGGTCTCAATACATGCCTGTGTGTGTGTGTGTGTGTGTGTGTGTGTGTGTGTGTGTGTGTGTGTGGGGCTTCTTGGGAGGTGAGTGTGGTTGTCACTCAAAGTGACAGCTGGGCAGAATGTGTTTCAACAGTTTAAGTTGGTAATGACAAGCACAAACAGACAAGACAGACACAGTGTGTGGTGTACTGGGTCTGAGATTTATTTGTGTTTTTTGACTGCAAGGGTGTTTGTTTGTTTGTCGTAATACATAAAACAAGTGTGTCATTGGTGTGGCTTTTTTCACGGGTCAGCTCTTATCACCTCCTCAGCTGTCACCCCCTACGATGCATAACCCCTAATGTGTGACCCATCAATGTGCTCATATTGTTTTGTACAGAAATGACTATTGAATTAATCCACAGCAAATAATATGTTTAACACACCAGGCTAAGAGGCTGTGAAAGCGCAATAACAAGACAATGTTGTGCTGTAAACACATTGCTGATCATAATAAAGGCTATCCAATGAGCTTGTTTGTGTTAAATGTGTTAAACCGTCTGATATAGGAATGTGTACAGCAAACATAACTTAAACAACAACATCAGTGCTTCTGCCTAAAGGGTCATGTATTTTTAAAAAAGTCCTGCGTAATGGCAAACTACACACAGAGTGTTTTTTTTTTTTACCCCCGTCGCATCTTCCTGTGACACACCCTTTCCATGGTTCAGCCCATCCTCTCCATGTGTGTTTGTGGGATCCCGTACTAGCAGCTGTCCGGATCTAAAAAAAAAAAAAAAAAAAAAAGGGCATGTTGAAGTACAAGTGTGCAGTCACACTACTGTGATTTGAATTGATGCCACTTGATTGCACGGTCAATACATCGATCCGGTTTTAAAGTCTCAGCTCTTGTCTCGTTCTGCCTCATTAATCCTGCTTCACGTCTTCCCATTACCCTTTTGCATCTTTAAACATTACAATCCTTGAGTTTTTAAAACGTTTTGTTGATTTTTCCATTTCAGTGTTTGCCCGGCCAGCCTTTGCTGAGCATGCTGTATTGCAGTGCAAGGCTTTTCTTTGAGAAGCTGATAGATAGCTGACTGATTCAAACTGCTAATTTAACAATGTTTGACCCAGCTAGGCATAGCTCAGCTTGTGTGTAAAAGCCATACAACCAACATTAAAGAAGAAGAAGAAGAAGACATACTTTATCAATCCCTGAGGGCAAATTCAGTTTTGGAACTCTGTTTTTGAAAATGCTACACACACATGGGCCAGGATTACACACACATGCGCTAATCGAGTCAGAGTGAAGGGCTGCACATGAAAGGGCACATGAGCAGTTTTTGGAGTTTGTGACTTGCTTAAGGGGAAGTGCTCGGGAAGTGAGCTGGCACCATCAACCAAACCCAATTGCACACCTTGGTCCAATGGGGACTTTAAACGATGAAATTCTGAGGCTGCGGTAGAACATCTGGGCTGCAAGGCGCCACGTTGTATTACAGGCCCAGTGGTATTGGTCAGCATCTACTTGAATACAACTATTTGACTTGAAGTCGGACAACCATAGTTCTCTCAGGAAGTGTGTGCAGAGCTCTGGTGGCAAGTTGGAGTGTTTCCCTGAGACACGGGGAGAGACAGGTGTGGATTGCCTTAGATAAATAAACACAGTAGCCAACAGATACTTTGTCTGTTCACACTGTGGCGAATGAGAACCTCCATTCCAGAACATTACAGCACCACAGCTGCTGCTTAATGTCACAGTCCTGCAGAGTGACTAATACTAATGTGTGTATTGCATTTGTATGTGTGCCTTTTGTCACTCGGTCGCCCTCCATGAATCAGGATTTATGTCCGCAGCAGCTGCAAAACGGTAACAGCTTGGCTGCAGTGAACTAATTGAACTTCATGTTGCTTCCCATTATTATTGATCCAAGTGTTGTTCGAGTCGCCCATGCTGGTTAGCGGTTAGCTTTAGGCGAGGCTGTTGAGCCGGTCTGTCCGCACCCTCCTGTGATTGGCCCTTCTGTTGAGAGGAGACCTTAGAAGTGACCCGATCTACATAAAGTGACAACACCCCCACCAAACACACACACTTGTGGAACAGATATGACACGCTCTTGCGCTCAGCGTGGTGGTGCAAGCTGTGCAATCTGACCCATCTTCCTGCCCGGCTTCAACAGTATTATCCCCCTCCCTGCAAATTTCATCTGGGCTCACCACCTGTTGTCAGCTTTCACCCAGCCAGTGCCCTCTGCAGACCTATAGCCATCTGTTTTCCTCTATAGGCACCAGAGCTTACAGTTGTGCCTGAAGTAGGTATGAGGCCAGACTCAAATCTCCCTCGGGGGAAGAAATCCTAGACTGATCCAATTACTCCCGTCTGCAGCTTGAATCACACCGAATCAACTCAGACTGGCAAACACTTAAATCAACACTTTGGTAGAAAGGTTGCATAGTAAACAAGTCGAGCTGTTTACATGCAGTGCAGAGATGGCAGAAGAGAGAATTTGGCCCAACCAGTCCTGTTGAAAGTTGCTAAAAGGAAGTTGTTGTTTTTTTTTTTTTTTACATTTGACACTTTTTTTTTTTTTACAAAAGTGAGTTATAACATTGCTGCTCTTTGGAGCTGCAATTGTGTAAAAGAGAATAACCCCGCTCTCTCTCTTTCTTCCAGATGGCATCCACCGCGTTGTGGCCCTCTGCACGCTGCGCGTCACTATCATCACCGACGACATGTTGACCAACAGCATCACCGTGCGCCTGGAGAACATGTCCCAGGAGCGCTTCCTCTCTCCCCTGCTCAGCCTCTTCCTCGAGGGCGTGGCTGCCGTGCTCTCCACCAAACGGGAAGCGGTATTTGTGTTCAACATCCAGAACGACACCGACGTCCAAGGCTCCATACTCAACGTGACTTTTTCAGCTCTGCAGCCCGAGGGGGAACAGGGCAAAGGGACGTTCTTCCCGTCTGAGGAGCTGCAGGAGCAGATCTACCTCAACAGGACTCTGCTCAGGCTTATATCCTCTCAGGAGGTAACGCACAGATTGATACAAACACAAAAAGGCATATGTACATGCACACTCAGGAGCACACACAATTGTAAAAAAAAAAAGAAAAAAAAAAAGGAAAAAGTAGCATTATCCTTCCTCTCTCCAGGTTTTGCCATTTGATGACAACATCTGCCTGCGGGAGCCCTGCGAGAACTACATGAAGTGTGTGTCCGTGCTGAAGTTCGACAGCTCCCCTCCCTTCATAGCGTCAGAAACGGTTCTGTTTCGGCCCATCCACCCCATCAACGGGCTGCGCTGCCGCTGCCCTCTCGGTTTCACGGGAGACTACTGTGAGACGGAGATCGACCTGTGCTACTCGGGACCCTGCAAGAACAACGGGAGATGCCGCAGCAGAGAGGGAGGGTACACCTGTGAGTGCATGGAAGACTTCACAGGTGAGTTGTCAACAAGAAAGAAAAAAAACTGTTTGCACAGTGATTAAACGTTTTGTATGAACTTAATTATATTGTGCATAGAATACAAATTGCACATATGTGGTGCTAATCTCCGCGTATTTAACAGCTTTTTTTTTCCTGAAAGAAAACGTTTGTGTAAGGGCCCATTATGTACCTGACAAAGGCTTTATGACTCGTGCAAAACCGCCAAACCGCACTGACAAGTTGTTTAAGCACTCACTACCTATTGTTGTAGCTTGAGGTCGACCCTAGTTCAGGAAAGGAAAGCACGTGCACACACACACACACGCACACACACACGCCCACACACACATACATTTATCTGCATAGAAGATTTATTGCTTTATAAAAATGTACGGAATGCCATATATACTTGTCGTACCAGATTCTTCTCAGGTAACACTAAAACAGGCAAATAGGTTTCGGGATCAGTGAACAATAGTTATATTCTAGGATGATTAATGACTTAAGCTGGACATACATGTTAATTGAAACTGATTGCACAATCAAAAGGATCTAGAAAGTACACTTTTCTTCCGTTTAAGTGCTTTACTGTAAGAATTTTACTTCACCGTTTTGTTGATTCTTGATGCCAAAATCGATGGCTTTCTTCAGGATATACTGCAGCAGGCACTCCTTCAGTGACACATCTATAAATCAGACTTCTTGCAAACCCACCCAGCGGCAATTGGCAGACAGGCAAAGTTAGTGAAAATGTACACAATTATAAGATACACAACTCGGAACAAAATGCTGATTATTCCGTTTCTTTCTACTTGATGTGTGAAGAGGTAACTGTTAATTAAATGTTAAGCCCTCTCAAATTCAGTATAATATGTTAAAAGTTTGTGTCACTGTCTTCAAGTGTCTTCAAGATCAATAAATGCAATCCATGGAAGTTTTTCTGCTAAACAGGCATGAAAGAAAACACTGATAGAGTTACCTATCTGCCCGGAAACTGGCGGTTACAGTCAATCCACACAGCATTCCACATGGCGGGTCATTTATTGGAGGCTTCAAAAGCTTTCATCGTTCTCATTGAAATCATTTTCCAAAATATTCCACAATGTCAGGGATATTCCTGCAAAAACTACCCCCGCCATGTACATCTGATACCTGATTGGCTGTCTCTCCCTAATTGGGCCTAGAGGGTCTCTGACAGCTGTCATCCCTCCTCTCCCCCGTCTCTCCCAACACTCTCCCCATTCTCTCTCTCTCTTCCTGTATCATATCTGATGTTATTACCTCATTATACCTGCTTTTGTCAATCACTGGCAGCGTCTCGCCTTCTTCCCCCGACTCTCCATGTCCATCCTCCCCACTCACCCATCAAATTTCCCTTACCTGTGTCGCCTTGTCCCCCCCTCTTTGAAGGTCACAGTTCAACTCTAGATAGTCAGGGGCCATAATGGCGCTGATGACAAGGAGGGCCGTTCTGTCCTCCTTGGGTTTCCTACATACAGGGAAACAGATCCTTATAATTCACCCTTGGAAAAAGGATTATGCTGTGGAGAGAAGGGCTATTAGCTGGTTCCAGGCTGTGGGGTTGTGTGTGTGTGTGTGTCTTGGACGAGATCTTGTCTGGACAGCGATGTAGATGTACACCACTGCGTTGGACACACAATCGCACAACACCAATAATATTAGGCAGAAAGAGATCTGCTGATGTATTAGTGAAGGAATTTATATGAGCTGAGCCAGGAAACCAGACCCAGCTCCCTGATTGTACAAAGCAAGAGCAACATGGTCATTTAGGAGGAATTTCCCATGGGGAGACCCATTGCGCTAAGAAACCGAATTGGATAATATAATATAATGACTTTATACCAACATGCAGCCATCCAGTTATTTACTAAAGGACAGACTCAACTCAAGTCTGGCTCACAAGACCTGTCCACAAACAATCACCCACTTCACAGTGGCTGTGTGAGTTTGTTTGTTGGAGGAGATGGCTCAACTAACTTCCTACATACAGTCAGGCTATATAACGTGTCGGTTTGTTCAAAGCTAAGATGCTGAGTTTTAAATATATGGCACTCAGTGACATTGCCTTTCATCCTCATCTTAATTCAATAAACGTTTAAACAGTTGCACATCTGTACATGGAAAAGTGAATGTTCTGATCACTCTGCTGATTGTCTCATAATAGCTGAGGCTGAGTGGAGCACAGAGGTAGCTCTTTAGTGGGTTTAAGTTTCGACCATGCCTTGGGGCAAGAGCACAACATAAAACTGTAAAAAAAAAAAAACATTTTCTATATGCTAACCACAGCACTTTATGTTACTTTGAGGACACTCAGTACATTCTTCCCTTGTTAAATGTGCAAAGCTGATCCTTAAAACATTTCAAAATGATGCATTTGTTACATCCATTGTGTTTGATAGCAGTTTTCCTACACGTATCCCCCTCCAAAGTCATGATACAAATGACACACGGTTAGTGATTAAAACCTCACATTGTATCTTTGATGTCAGTTCCTCAGGACAAAACAGATTACACCAAACCTAACTAAATTCCACCTCTAAACAGAGACGATGGTTCATGCACACGCTCCATGTAAAGTTGTAGTACTTACTCTCTCCACGATTTCTGACTCTATCCACTGTCCTGTCTCTAAATAAAGGCGTGTGCCTTCAGCCCAAAACAGAAATATGACTCTTCCACTGTCATGAGCTTTAGTAGAGAAGACTGTATTGTATTTACAGCTGTGGTTCATATTAATGTACTGATATTCTCTCCTACTCCTTTTTATCTCCAATCCTCTGCTTTTCTCTAAGTATGGCCAGATGACAGTGTAGCAATGACTAAGGATCCATTAGGCCGACGGTCCAACTAGGACCTAAGGCCAACAATCGCCTTGGTGTGTCAGGACCTTAAAATTGGTGGTGGGTGGATCATAAAGGGCATGGAAAGCACGGCCATATTGCTGTTGTTTCTCAAATTACAATCAGGAACTTCTTGTAGGATCCAAACAGATGACGCATCGTACAAGTCTGTTTTTCAGTCAACTGTGGACAACATGCTTCACTGAAGTAATATAATGATGATATCAAATCGATGGAGTAATGCGATGACAGGTGGTTTAGCATTCACTCAATCCAGAAACAAAACGCTCTTCTGCAGAAAAGCCAGCATTGTCTCGCAGTATTCTGTAGATTGTTTGAAGAAGGTGGCCTTTTCAAACCAAGGCAGCCGTAAAGTTGTCAATCCTGTGTTTTCATTGTAGGCGACCACTGCGAGCTGAACGCATCATCAGGAAGCTGTATCCCAGGTGTTTGTAAGAACGGCGGGGAGTGTGTGAATCACCTTGCGGGTGGCTTCATGTGCCAGTGTCCTGAAGGAGAGTACGAAAAGCCCTACTGCGAGATGACCACGCGCAGCTTCCCCGGACGGTCTTTCGTCACCTTTCGAGGCCTGCGGCAACGATTCCACTTCACTGTCTCCTTCACGTGAGTACTGTGTTGTCGTCCTTTGTTTCTTTTTTTTTTGTCTGTTTGTGTCTTTACCGATTAACAAATTCCTAGGCCTTGCTGTTAATGGACCTCTGCAACATGAAGCTAACTGTTTGTTATACCATGTCCACCTCAGTTTGGCTGGTGTTAGCTTCTCGCAGGGCTGAACTGACATACTGGGCATTCTCTCGGGGGCTGGAACATTTCTTGGGCAGAGAGAACATTAGCTTTGAAAAGGGAATGCAATAGTTAAAAAAAAATGCTGATGGGCCCACAGAGCATTGGTTATATGTTTCTAATGATAGATCATCACGTCTCCCACTGGGCAGGCTCACCCCCCAACACAAAGGATAACTACTACTCTGTCATGTCTAAATGGAGCTAACAATGTGTTTATAAAAGGGGGGGGGGGGTCCACAGGGATGGCGTTTAGGTGTGTTGTGTGTGACTGGTTGTGAAGAGCCTGTTTGACCCAAAAAATGCCAGAGCCATTTTTTTTCCCCAGTCCAACCCTTCCTGCTTCCCTAAAAAGCAGTCCTGCTCGGTCAGGAAATGTTGTCAGTCATCGACAGAAGCAGGCTCCTCTGAATAGAAATAATACATGTTTCACACTGTAACTCTCGCTGATTCAAAACCAGCTGGAAAAGTTACTTCAACTGTGTCAAGCTGACTCTAAAATATTCCTGATGTGGCAAGTCCCCACGTAGAACGGGTAACAAGCCTTATGAAGATAAAAACAATGTATGACCCCCAATAAGTAGTATATTCTTGACATTTACGCTCAGTCCTCATAGTAAATCTGAGCTTGTTAGAAGTGCAGGTGTTGTGTTTGTAGAAATGGTAGAAGAAGATAATGGCGAGTATGAAGACATTCTGAATCTTAATCAGCTATCAAACTGTCTTTCTCCATTTGTTAATGTAACTCCAAACAGTAAATGCTTCATACCTTGTCAAAGCATATTAAGAGCAGTACATGTCTGCTTTCAACCGTAAATGAAGCTGTAGAAATAAACAGTTTTGGTTTTTTTTGCGGTTGGTTAAAGAGTGCTACCTAGGGCCTGCTGGGACTTGTCCACACGTTTCCATTGTGTCTTCATTTTCTGCTCTTAATACACACAGCAGGCTCACACACTTACAGCAGTATGAAGAAGACGCACACAAACTACATCATGCGCGTGCAAGTTGATGATTGAAAAATAACCCTGACTTTGCAAGTTTGCAACACGATGAATGTTTCAAGAGAAAAACGTCTAGTGCATGTTTTCTTAGACACCCAAAGGTAATATGTGTTTGTTAATGCGAGATCAGACACCGTGGCGGTGAGAAAGGTTTGCAGTGCAGTGAAAACAGGAAAGGCTGTGTGATGACTTTCTTTTATCAGTGTTTGGCTACAGCCGTCCTGACTTCCTGCCCCGCTGACCTAACTGGCATCTGCCGGCTGACTCTGCTGCCCTCACCTTACACTAATAAAAACACACGCACACACACACACACACACACACACACACAAACATAGACACATTTAAACTTTGTACCGTCTCATACACTCATGAGTAGGTTGTGGCTCATTAACCGGGCCTTTTCCCCCTCTCTCAAATGCGGTGATACACTCTTCGCATCCTCTCTGCAGCCACATCCTGCCTTTCCTTTCCAAGGGGCTTTTCCTCAAGGAGCTCCACTGTCTGTTTGAGTTGGATAGGTGCTTAAAAAATGTGACTGGAAACTTGAGCATGAGCAGAGATAAACAGTTTAAATCCACTCAACCAAATATTTGTGATAAACCTGAATCTCAAATATTGTATTTTAAACATGACTTTAGACCAAATTTAAACAAACTAAATGACTGTCAAAGATGCTACCGTGTTCTGTATCTATTTTTGTGTTGGTTCCATCGCTGTGTGACCTTAAAAGAAGTCCTAAAATCCTCCGTTCTGTCTCCTCAGGTTTGCCACAAGAGAGAGAAACGCTTTGCTTCTATACAACGGCAGATTCAACGAAAAACACGACTTCATCGCTTTGGAAATTATTGACGAGCAGATCCAGCTCACCTTCTCAGGAGGTGAGGCCTCACTGTGTCTTGTTTGTGTACGCGTGCGTGTGTGTGTGTGTGGTGACCACTTTAAGTAATTGACGCCATCAGTTACAATGTAAGTGTTGTACTCGAACAATTCAATTTCGCGAAAAGCAACTTACACCACTCTTGCTTAACCAGTCTTATCCACATGTGTGAGTGTTTTCTGAAGTATGTGTTAGATACTGCATGTGTACAAATGTGCCATCGTTTTAATCTGTTTCACACTGTGTGGATTATTACATTGTGCTAAGGTGAGAGGGATGGATGTTCTGAGAGCAGCTGCTTCCTTTGAGAGTGAGCTGCCAGACTGATTGATGATGGCACACACACTGAACTGTCCAAAAAAACACCTACTTTACGCACAAACACACACACACACACACACACACACACACACACACACACACACAGTCCAAAGCAGTTGGTCACTCTAAACACACCATGTTCCTTCTCCAACTTTCCAACCTTAGCACACCTTAAATATGTTTTTAGAATTGCATTCTCTGACACACACCCTCAGACGTCGTTCAAACTGTTAAAGGTTGGATTGCAGATCAAACACTTCTGTTTTGGACGACTGGCGGTTGTTCTCAAAGTCAGTCTACTTTCCCATGGTACCGTACAGGGAGGATTCCAGTTCAGTACGATTAAGTTGGGTGAGACCCATTTAGGAGCGCTGCCAAGTCCTTGTGCACTTCAAATCTGAAATAAGACATGACTCATCAAATGAAATATTGTTATTATTATTATTATGACAGATAGTTATTGAGAGGAGTGGGAGGAGCTTCTATGATTTGTCTGCGGTATATCTCCTTCAATGCTGGTCCATTATCATGCGGTTTAGCTAACACAAAGGAAAGTAGGACATACGCTCACATGCTTTTCTGCCCTTTTTCTGTTTTCTAATGTGCACAGCCAGAAAGCTGACACATCACTTATTAACTCTCTCATGCACTCAAACACAAGACACACACATAGCTTGTCAGTGTTTGCTGTTGACTTGTTTCCAGAGCGGTGGATTTTCTAGCAGGGCCGCTCCCGTCTTTGACAAACAGAGTAAATCTGCTCTCATTGTGCTCTGCTGTCTTCTTACTGTGAGCTGTTCACGCTCGCCGTTTTCACATTATGCACTATTGGAGAATGTCCTGCTGTGCGTTCTCACATCAGCTCACTCTGACTTGCTGCGGAAAACATACTAGGGGTCTGGCAGGAGACACTCCGCTTGAATTATGAGTGAATAAATGTGGCTTTTTGCGTTCACACATGCAGCGCCTCCTGGGAATATCCTGAGTTTTTCAGGAGTTTTTTTTTCCTGCAAGTGTCAAAGCCCTGACTGTTTCCCTCTCGTTTCCCTGACTTTCCCTCACACCGCTCACTCATTTTCCATGAAACCGCTTTAACTTTTACCGCACTCAATTATTTTCCTTTTCCCTTTATCCCCCCCGTCATCGTACATGTTTACACTCCTCTATGTCAAATCTCACTCCATTTACTATTTTTAACCCTTCTCATTTTTCCCTCTCTCCGTTGTGATTCAGGAGAAACCAAGACCACCGTGGCTCCCTACATACCAGGCGGGGTCAGCGACGGCCAGTGGCACTCTGTTCAGCTCCATTACTACAACATGGTAAGGAAATCAATGACCCCCACCTGACGTTATGTGCCGCCTCCTCTACTAAAATGTTAAAATGTCCTTCATCTTGTGGATGTAAACATGAGATGGCAACTATTCAAAGTTCATGTTTGAGGGTTTTTTTTCAATTCAGAATTAACCTAGTTAAATAGTGCCCATTTCCCCCTGAAGATCAAGTCCAATAAAGATCAAAATTAGCACTTTCTGGGAAATGAAAAGTTAAGGAGTTGTTTCGAGGGAGTTCAGCGAATGAAATGTGGATTTCCTTGATCAGCAGAACCAAGTCCAATGACCTTGACAGCAAATCCAGATTATTTGGCAGTACTTGTTTGGCTGGCGTTATGAACTCTGACAGTAGCTTGACCCCTCTTCCTTGCAGTTTTCTTGCAAAAAAAAAAAGAAAAAGTACAGGGGCTTTAATGGGAGCTCAAAGATCAACAGCTGTATCTTCACATTCAATTTTCCAAATTTCAATAAACGTTGGATTGACGTTCCCACGAAGGGCAAAGCATGTGATCATATTGCTTCTTTATTATGTTCAATCTTTGTAAAGAGACGGAAGAGAGATTAGAAGAGTTTACATTTCAGTCAGTTGTTGGTGTTAATTTCTCATCAGACTTCCAGAGCCTGCAGTCATTTCTCTTATATTACCGTTTAACCAGACAGGAAAATAACACAACAATGGCCTTCAAAACATGTTTATTATCAAGTTTGTGTCTGGTCATTAACAATGCAAGTCTTGTAATGTCAGTTTGTCAGCTGCACATAGGGATCTTCTGGTCAGTATTCTACCACAAAGGAGAAGAAGACGTGTAAAAACGTAGTGAGGTTGTTCTGGGCGTATTTCTTAGCCTTTAAAAGCTAATATGTTACCTGATTAGCACATGCTATGCTTTGTTCCGACAAGAGTTCCACCCCTCTTTCATTTATGTTTTTAAAGATAATTTCTTCCCTTTGTGGTTCTTCCACCATGTGTACAACAACACTGGGTGTTGTGGCATCACTGGCCTGACCCAAGACCTCCAGCATCGCATGTCAGCAGCGACTTACTGCACACATTTCAGACTGAAGTTAACTGCACTTTTTGTGACTAACATCTTTAGTATACTCAGCTGCCTTCACATTAAAGCATTCGTCAAAGCAGACAAATCAGACTACCATCATGTATTGTTTTAGCTGGAGGATCATCACTGTATCTATTTCTTGAGGTGAACTTAGGCTGTATGCTTGCATGCTAAAAAGCATCGCCTTTGTGATGTACAGACGACTGCTTTTAAGTTGCTACAAGGTCACTATCACTTGGATTCATTGCATGACACAGTGTTTGCTCTGAAGAGCTCTTTGTGTTTTTTTTTTGTCTGTTGCGTTGTCTTGAAATTGGAAAGATGTGTCCTTGGAACGGACATTTAATCATTTGCATGGTTAAACAAGTTTTCTGCGTTGAATCTGTCCCTGCAGTTTATGTTTTTATGTTGAGTTTTTTTTCTTGCTCTCTACTACTATACATGCAAATCAAGAAGTACGCCCACAGAAACACGCTCATCACACTAGTATTAAGAGTGTTTATTAGTGTTATAAGCCTGTAAAGTGGGGAATGTATGCGTTCTGTCTTAATACAGACCAGGGATTTGCAAAGCAGGTGACACATTCCGTTGAATTAGCCTGAGGCCGACTGTAACCCTGACAAAGTATCAGCTTTTCTTCACGTGTTGAATGATCAGAAGTTGGATTGACGGATGGTAATTTAATCCCACGTCAGTTGCTGGGGGATTAGGGGGAAAAGTAGATAGCAGAAAGGAGCAAAGTTCTCACTATAGATTAGTTGTGTTGACATGCGAATGCATTGACATGCTTGAAGACTCACGTAAAGCTGCTGAGTATGAAAGAGCACACACATTTGTCTGTAGCTATCATTGCTTGCATAGCCTAGAGAGAGTTAAGACCAGATCAGGGCAGAATAGTCCAACTGTGATGTCATCCACAGTCATGTCATGCACAAAACCACACAGGTTATGTGTGGTTTTGTGTCAGAATTTATACCTTACTACAACTGATTTCCTGTTTTATAATCCATATACTGTAAGCAGGATTGCATGCACCTTTGATTTTTTTTTTTTTTTTGGTAATTAAGCATAAATAGTTGTAATAATTATATTACCCAAAAAATACTTGTATACAAAAAATACTCTATATAAGTGAGGTCCTCTACTAGTGTTGTAATACTCAAAATCTGTTTTGGTCTCGAGATCACTTTTTGAAAGTCTCGGAATCGAAAGCATTTTCCAGCTACATAGAAAACAAAATTATTCTCAGTGTTCACAAGAGGTACATTTTTAGTCTTTAAACTCACTTAACTAATTCCTAGGTTAGAAAAAAAAAACATTTAGCCATTGTTAAATCATACTTACGCTTGCAGATGACTGATTAGTTAAAACAGATAGCAAACAAATGCATTGAGACCTCTCTTTCACGCTTCACTTAACAGATGAACCAATACTGTGGGTTCACACAAGCCGACCCAAGGTGGTTCCTCTCATATAAGCCCCAGTTGTTGTTTTTTTAACGGTCGTAACAGCACACTCACACAACACTAATTGCGTGCTGATTTATTGGGTCAGATGATGAGGCAGTTGAAGTTTTGCGTGCTTTTCGAGGGTGCCCTCTTTAAAAAGCTGCTGCTGCTGCTCCCTTCAGAAAAAAAAGCCTGGGTGCCTCTTCTTAAAAACAGAGGTGAAAGGTCGGGGGGGGGGGGGGGGGGGGTTGGCATGACAACAGACATGGACTTGCCATTGTTATAGCGATCTGGGTCGGTTGGAAAGCTGTGTGTGTGCGTGTGTTTGCATCGTAGGGGGGGTCAGGCAAATAGGAGGTTTGTGTGTGTGTGTGTGTGTGTGTAAGTGTCTGAGCATGTGTGAGGTGGATGTGTGTTTTTCAATCTGTGCATATGACCGTACATCTATTAGACATTTCACACAATTGAAGTGGAGGGATAAAAACCTTTTTGAAATTCCATGGTGTGTATAGTTTCAAGGACATTTGAGCGGGACATGCGAGGCAACGCGAGACAGCAAAATCTTCGACACACAAACAAGAACAGAAGAAGCATGTAGATGGGTATTCTTGAAGAATCGAGACGTTTTGGCTTGGCTATGTTTTTTGATGCTGGAGATAGTGTAATTAAGCCGGACACTAGGCAGGAAGGAATACATGATTTACTCTATTTTAATTCATTTTACCACAACAACCACCATGATCTCACAGCAGGATCGTATTTAAAAGTGTTACTTTGGCAAATATGGACTATTTACATCTAGACTGTGCAGACAGCATTCCCAGACGGTCTTAGCTGGCTCTTATCACCAGTGAATACTTAAAGTTCACTCTGCTTCTGCGATTCCTCCCTCACACTCATGTCTGGTGTTGTTTATAGGGCAGGACTTTAATCACCGGGACATTATGCGCAAATGACTTCACAGCATAGCTTGAATTACATTCTGGATATACTGTGTGTGTTTATTTGCATTCCTGTGGACTGCTACAACACAGAATGTAACTCACTCAATCAGCTGTATTTGGAAATGGATCTGGGTCTCCACCATTCAGGGCTTGTCCCGAAAGCAAAGGGGTATACACTGTGTGATTTCGGCCCGATTTAGACGCAATGTTTGAGGCTTACGACTCATTTTTAGCCCGATCACACGTCATCAGTCATTAGTTGTTGCACTGAGGCACGACGGCCTATCGCAGCCTGATCATCTCCAACATAGCAGTCGGATGATTTTCTGGCATGTTTGACATTTTGCTCATAGAACTGCACAGACTAGCACAGTGAGAGCAAAGCCACGAGCCAATTCCCAGACTACAGGACTTTTTTTTTTCCGTATTACATCTGCACAGACATTGACAGACAGTGTCCGAAATCACCATGGCAACAGCAGGCATGCCTGTTTAAGCTTTGAAAATACTGCTGTCAGCCGTAGGCCTATTTCAGCCGTGCATATGGCAACTGAGATAGCCTACACATATATCTGACTCCAGCCTCTGTCTGTGTGCTCTGTCAGTGTGAGATCTCAGGTCATACCCACTCAGGTTGTACAGTGTGAGCAAAACAATCACCGTATTTGATCGTAACACTTTTGCAATGATTGATGTTTTAGACTGAGTTTTGGATTCTTAAAGCCCATCAGTCGTTGTGACAAACCCACAGAGTATTTAGCAGCGTACCACCTTCACCCCCGTCCATCTACCGGCTTTACGGATCATTTCAACATCTTTTACTTACAAGTAGATGTTTTGCTTGTATGGCTGAAACTTTATATTTTTAGGTTAGATTCTGCACACTCCAGCTTTTCTAAGCAGCTGATTTCAGCAACAAGAGCTTTGAAGAATGCTTTCAATATACAACGTATGTGTCATTTTTGGTCAAATCAGCAATGAGCATCAGTGCGTCAGTAAATTGCCGAGTGTGTCTAAATATTTCTATTTCAGAATCTTGCACGTTGAGTTTATTGTCTGAGCAGCCTTCATCTGGACAACTGCTTTGAACACTTATCTGTTCTTTTCAATAAATAGCTGCTCCTCTCGTCTTTGTATGTTCTCTCCTTCTCTTTGTTGATGTCTTAGATTTCATTGGGTTTCCACGACAAGTAGATATGCAGTTTAACACATAAACACACACTCTCTTTTTGTTGGATGATAGCTTTTAAAATAAATACTCTGCCTGCGAGTGGCTTTGGAGTTGCTATACATCTCCTCTTTGCATTTTTATTGCTAATAGTGAAAAAAAATCCACATGTGGTATTCTGGGTGGCCTTGATGACTGCGAGGGACAGACGTGTGACGTTGTCAAGGTAACACAGAGACATAACCGCACTTCAATAGTTGTCAAGTTTTTTTATGTGGGTCTGCATAAATATGGTTAAAGGTTTGTGTATTTCCCCCACTTCTTGCTTCTTTAAAAGGCAAAGTATTTATTTTGAGAGGTGAAGCACCAGACTTTATGTTTCCTCTCAGGATATGTTTTCAGAGGAAGAGGCCTGGTTGGTCTTTGTTCTTCTGGACATAGGTCTCCCCCATACCTCAGACATTTTAGGTCATCACCATCACACAAAAGGGGCAGGAGGTTTGCGTCAGCAGACCTGAGAGTGTGGGTGGAGGAGCTCAGACAGGTAGGCACTAGGCAGGTTATGGAGGAGGGCTTTATAGGTGATAACGAGGAGATCGAAGTGGATACGCTGGGCGATTGGGAGCCAGTGGAGGTTATGAAGGACGGGGGTGATGTGGAGTGTGTGAGAAGACGAGTAGCTGGAGTATTCTGTAGTAGTAGTAATAGTAGTTCTGGATATTGTATTGAGTGTTTAGGATGATGAACCTTAGATTGGACTGGGTGGGCGTAGGCGGGCAATGTTTCTCACATGGAAAAAAAAAGCTGTTTTGGTGATGCGTTTGATACGTTTGTGTGATGGTTCGATCAAAAGATTAAGATTATTATAAAAACATAGTCATTTAGTGTTGTATGTTTTTGTTTCTGTCTTGTAACTACCTCCGATGACATTTGGAAGCTGGTTTCAGACTTCCTGTGTTTAAATTTCACCTGCTGTTTACATAGCCAGGTATTTCACGGTGTGATATCTGCCAGAGATGTCTGATAGCCTGTTGTCTGAGGTTTTTGGAGAAGGGTTTGTGAAAGGCTTACAAAGAGAGGTGTGTTTTACTTTGGCTGTTGTGTGTGTTGGCAAATTTTCCCGTTTTGTGTCTTTTTTGTATTTTAAACAGTTACTTGTTTGAACATATAGACAAAAACCTCCAAATAGACGGAGAAAATACAATCAATGTGCACTCAAAAAACACCATATATATGCATTTAACATTTTTTGGGTGCAATTACACCTTACTGCAGCCAGTTAACAAAACAGGAAAATCCCCCCAACTCAATAGGAACTGGACAACATGCCCAAACATCAAGACATCCAGCACACCACACCAGTGTATGACGTTGGTTTGGTTGCGGGCTGCAGGTCTAACGCAGTGTCTCTTTCTCACGGTGTTTCTCTCCCAGGAGGGGGTGAGTCTTGTGGACTCCAGCGGGGCTCTGCGGCTCCCGCTCTATACTGCCTGGCTGAAGCTCAATCAGAAGGAGGTAACCTCTGACCTCTAGCCTAGTCCCTACTGGTGCTTTTTCCCCACTGGGGTCTCATTTAGTACTTGTTCTGCTTCTAGTACAATCTTCTGGACTGACTTTACTGTACATGCTTACCACATTCTTAAAAAAGGTAACACGGCGTCTTAAACTAGCGTGTTAGCTCTTATTTACCCTCACTCTGGTCTGGTGTTGACATTAGCAGAGGCTTTAGCATTTTTCTTTTGGGTTAGCTAGTTTTGGTGTGGCAGTTGAAGGTATGTTTACTTAGTTGTGATGTGATTGCTTTTGTCTGTCTTTCCCTTGTTGTTTTGTAGTTAAGACACGGTGTTCCGCTTTCGGCCTGGTTTCACACAAGCTTTACACTTTTCTTGTGAACTTGCTAAATCTGACTCACAGTACGGATTTCTTACCAATACACATAGCCCCTGATATCTAAAAATTCTCAAATGCTTTTTCTTACTCCTTCAATATTTGAAAAGTATTTTTTATGTTTAAGGTGTTTTTACTTTTGAATGTTTACTGACCTGCAGCTATCCTTTGCTGCTCACAGTAGCTCTTTTCATACATAGAGCCGTAACTAAGCTCAATCTTTGAACATTCATTCTTACTGCAATGGTATATTCTTGCCTGGCATTGCGGAAGCACGCCAAAGCAGGAGCTCCACATACACACACACACACACACACACAGTCAGGCATGCACACACACACACACACACACACACACACACACACACAGCGCTGCGCTCTCCCACTGACTCAGCTGATCCTGCCTCGCCCCTGAAACGCCTCTGTTTCTACCTTCGAAGACCGTTACAGAGGGTGTGATCTCTTCATCCCCCCTTGAAGCCTCCACCACGATCAGATTGACGGCAAAACGTTGGCAGAATGTATATCATACTTTTGGGATGCCCCGGACCCCTTGCTTGCCACTTTTTTCCCACTGGCTGACAAATCTTTTATGTTTGTGGAAAAACCTTCATAACTGTCTGCTCTGTAGTTGAGAGCAGAAATGATACAGTGACAGCCTCATCTGTTAGCTCTCTTTGACTACTCCAATTAAGATTTGTTCAGCTGTTATAAACGTGTGTGAGACCTGCCAGGCAGACAGACAGGTAAGTGCAAGGCAAGTGAGCAGTAACTTTGTTTTCCTTGGCAGCAGTGTGACCGGCAGAGGCACAGATTTTTATCAGAGAAGATTGTTGTTGCTCAGATATTCTTTGAGATGGCCCTTTTAATGAGCATTGAAAGCAAATTCTACAATTCTACAAATCATTTAACAGACGCTTTCATCCAAAGCGACGTTCATCAGAGAGTAAGTACAACACAAACAAGAATAAAGAAGTGACACCAGTAAGTGCTCCCATGCCTCTGTTTAGACTGATTTAGTTAAATGGATACATTTTTAGTTTGCATTCTGAATCTTATCTTGTGAAGATATATTTCATGAATATGTCATACAATCCACCTTCATACATTACTGGTTAACTCTCTCATATCTTTGTGTCTATCCAACTCTCATTTTTTCATTCTTACCTCACCTCCTGTGATGTGAGGGAGCGTATGAGTAAAAAAAAAAAAAAGAGCATTTTACACACCTCACCTAGCGTGACCTATCCCTCTGATTCACATCCTTGAAAGTAGACAACAGAATCGGTGGGGAAGCGAGGCGATAAAGAGGCAGAGGAAGGTGCAGAAAGTACGTTTAAAGAGAGAAAACCTCCACATTGTTTATTATCATTATTTAATACCGGCACTATCTGCGCCTCCTTTAGCAACTCTCTGTCTCCTAATCTTTCTCTCTTATCTCTCTCCACTTATATACTACTCTTATCTACTTTAAATTACCCCTATCAAGCTCAGTGTTATTGTGCCACTGCTTTGACTGATTTAGCATTTGCATCACTCTGATGCTTCAAGGCATCAAGGAGGTACGAGGTGCCGAGGGACAATCCTGCATCAAACATCTTTTTAATTTGTGGTTTCCTTAATCCTCATGGCCTAGTTTGTATATTTAAATAGATCCAAGGTAGCTAGGTGCCTCTTGCTTCTAGTACTGCTAAGCTAAGCTAACTGGCTGCTGGCTGTAGCTGCACTGAAATCAACAGGACATGGTCATATCATAAATGTTGATCTTGCTCTGGGTTGGTCACTTTTCAACACTGTATTTGAAAAACTATATCTGCAAAGTTAAGGGCTAAAAACCTGCTCGTAGAATGTGGTCATCAAATATCTATTAGACATTAATCACAGTGATGTGAGTACAAAAGCACGGGGCCATGTTCACCTTTTGTCAAGTTGCATTTCAAAATGGATTTTCTGAAGATGTTTCAAATAGGATAATGTTACCTTTGCCTCAGTTTTTTTGGTGGGGGAGGAATCCTCTGGAAATGCATTCTCCTGCTTGGAAGCTACGAGCAACAATGGCCGCTGTCCATATGTTACCTTGAGAGATAGAAGTGTGATGATAGGAGGAAGACAGCAGTAACCCATAGGCTTGATCACCGAACATTGTAGCTTTGTGTAACGCATCTGGGAACGGTGTGTTTGTGCTGAATAAATTCACACTTCTAGGTTTACATAGCCAGAGGGCAGGTGAGGTAATGTTGACATGACAGCCTGTTGCTACTGATATGAAGGTAGGACACGTTATAGTCTGTTCACTCAAACTCTTTCACTTTTATATTTCAAATGAAAATATTGGTTGAAGTTCAGTAGCTATATTTATGTTGGCCTAATTTGTGAATCACACCCAACTTCAAATATCAGTGGATCACATTTTCAAATACCAGGGAAGTGCAATTATCATCCCGGAGTTGGAGGAACGACGGCGTTTTCCTCAGGCGGATACAAAAAAACAAAACAAAGAATGTGCGCCCTCTTTCCTTTATTATCAATATGAACCGTGTGGCTGTCTGCAACCCTGCTACTTCCTGTCTCGTACACATTCAAGCTTGCCGCTTCCTCGCATAACACTGCAGTCCTCTCACACCCTTCCCATTGTCCCAAACACACGCCACAACACATAATAACCCACCAGTATTTCCTCAATTCCACTCTATTGATGCACTCACACCTACCTATTAGTTGCCAATTTTTTTGATGATTTTTTTCTGACTAAGCTGACAAAGTGTGTTCTACATGTAACTCAGTCTGTGTAAGTCCTGTGTATCCTGGCTGCAGGAGCGGTTGAGTCATCATGTTGGCTCTGACAGGTGTCCTGATGATAATGGAGTCGTCAAGTGTGTACGTGTGTCTGTATATGTGTTTTTGGCAGCCAGTGTGAGTTGCTCTGATTTAACTCAAGAAAAGAATAATTGTGTTTTTATTTTGAAATCAAACTGTGCAGTCCCCCATGGAGAAAAATGCACCAGCCACCACTGCATTTGACAGATGATTGCATTGATACTTCGGGAATTTGGACTTCGTTTTCCTCACAAGCAAGGGGTGTGTCGTCGATGGGGATGACACACAGTTTGCATTGTTCCTTAATCTATGTCATTTTGGATTTGTTTGTCTTGTGAAGAGTTGTGGAGCAAAGTGTGTGTCTGCATGAATCCTGCGCAATTATGTACTAACCAGCAAGTTAATGCCACTTTAAGGCCTCAGAAATATCAGACAAATTACACAGATTATGATAACAATAAGAATAGAAATTCAGCACATACACGTTGCCTGCAGGAAACATTCACTGAAGCAGGTATTTGATACATGTCAAAGGGTTATTTTTTCTTGAACAGGCATGACCAGAGCTTTTACTACAGCTGACAAAGATACACAGACTGAGGAGAATAAAATGAGGTTTGGAACTTGGTCGGAGTCACAACACGACATTATCTGGAAAGTGACAAAGTGCTTGTAGTTTAAACAGGGCATGTTGAAGGGAGTGGTAGTGCTATATGCTCAGATCAGAGCCCACCTGGACACTGATGAGAGGACTCTGAGGAAGATGACACTGCACGCATCTGTTCCTCATTATTTATTTGTCTGCCATTTTTTATATTGTCTGCTTCTTTCAGTGTCTTATTTCTGGTTATTCCACCTCCCTATTTTTGTCCATCAGTCTCTCTTCTCTGTATTTTGACCCTCTTTTTCTGCATATTCTCTGCCCCAGCAGGATCTCATTACTTAATTGCTGATCTACTGATGAAAACATGCACACTCTTTGTCTTTCTAGCATGCTTTTCTTTTTCTTTCTTCCGCTCTTCCGCCTCTGTTGTCAATATTCAAAGTTATAGGACAGAAGATGATGCAACAAAATATCTTGAATGACTTTAGGATCATTTTTTTTCCCCCAAATTGTGCTGCTTAGATTCTGTGCTTCAACACGGTATGGGACAACTTGGCCTCGTGTGAGTGCACCCTAGATCTGCAGATTATAGAGTCCCATTATTGTGGTCGTTGTAGTCAAGAGAGTGAAGATAAATTAGAGTAAGGCTCCACATCCTTTTGATATACTTAGTGTTTAAAATATCAAATATTTTATACATTTAGTTAATAGAAAGTTCATCTTCGGTAAAGTCCTCAAATGTCTCGTTCTTCTCTTTTGAGACGGTAATGAACAGAGGCCCTCTGTCAAAGGGACAGTTTTATTGGTGGAAACACAGTTTTTATTGAACCCCTCAAATTCCTTCTGCTTCATGGTCCAAGGCCTCTATTGTTTAGGAAACACTGCATTGAACTTCGGTCTCAGGTTAAACATTTAAAAAAAAAAAACTCAAGTTATTTGGCGGCCTGTTTCTCTAAGCTGATCCACATTTTCTCAGATCAACATTTGTCGGCATGACGCCTTGATGAAGGAATTAGCCTACTTTGTAATTATTGGGTGCTAGCTGCGGCACAGTGGACTTTTTGTCATGTTAAGCCGAGAGAGAACTGTAAACTTCTGCTTCAAGTCAGCTAAAGTCAGCGAGACATGTTGCAGTATAACGCTGATCTGCGTTGATCACCAATATAGCTGCTCTCCAAGCCAAGTGTTCCCAAACTAAAATAAAAAAGGAAGAGATCAGGAGTGAAATGTTTTAAATCAATTCAGCTCAGGGGGAATAAGTGAATATAATAATGCACTCTTAAGAATTTGACTTTAGCAGTAAGGAAGGCAAAGAGATACAATAATTTTTTTTTTAGTTTGACTCAGTATGTTTGCATATTTAAAAATAATAATATATGAGTGTTAGCTGCTCCAGAAAGCTTTAAAAGAAGCACTTGTTGCTGCAGAAGCACAAGTGGAATCATCGGCGTAGACAATTTTAGAATCCTTGCATTCTCAAAGACTGCTTCTTTTTTTTTTTTTTTTTTTACGTTCATCTTAGTAACTCATTATTTTTCCTTCAGCCAAACATCGGCCGTTTAGGAATCCCTCACGGACCCTCTGGAGAAAAGGTGGCTGTGGTCGCCGTCGACGACTGCGATATCTCCATGGCGATCCGCTTCGGAAAGCAGATTGGCAACTACTCGTGTGCCGCCCAGGGAACCCAGACTGGACAGAAGAAGTACGTTTGTGTCTTCCTCTTTCACTCATCTTTACCCTCTCTCTTTAGGTTTTACTCTCTGTGGTTTACATTTAATCCAACCAAAGCTGGAGGTATGAAGACAATCTGCGTGTAGAGAAAAGAACGCATGTTTTCCTCTGAAGAATCAAGTGAAGCAACATGTATTTCTGATTAGGATTGCAGCTGATCTCATCTGGACAAACCTATGTCTCCAATGGATCCCATAAACTCTTTGTACCCTTAGGACTGAAGCTAGTCAGACTAACTGGTTAATTTTGTTTCCTCCTTCTGCCAGCAATTAACATTATTTACCACAGACTACAAACATATTATCTTCCATCTACTTGTCTTTATGTCATTCATTGTTGTGTATATCCTTGAGGTTTTGATGCTGACATAGCCTCATACAACCAACAGGTCATCTCCACACAGGCTTTATCTGGCTAACGGTGTGTTTACCACACACTTATTAGTTAGATTTTATTGCATCAGGTTTTTTTTTTTTAGAGAAAGCATGCTGAGACACATTTGTGCAGAGGGTGGGGACAGAGGGCGAAGGAGAACACTTCAAAGAGGAGTTAATGAGGTTACATTCCTCGAGAAACTTGTTGCACAGGACACAGAAGCTGAGTAGTGAGTAGAGGATGTATGAACTGTTTCAAGCTGGAGTTTTTTTTTTTTTTTTTTTTTTTTTAACAAATATGAATTTGACTTTTGGGTTATGCGAGGCAAACTAGCACGTTAACTGTCATTGTAGAGAATGTCTTTGCATGATTGTGACTGGGACTGAAGCACAGTGTGGAAAGAATTGAAAGAAAGTGTCGTCAGGAAATGAAGCTAGAAAGGGATGACTGATTGAAGGTTTGAAACACACAAGTCATCCATTCATCATGCTTTATCAGTAACCAGTCAAACATCTTGATGTATTTCTTTTTAGCAATATACTGTAGTAGCCATATATAAGCCAGTTTAACACTCTTTCACTTGCCATGCTGCAGGGATTTCCGTTTTTTCAGTTGCTTCCAGAATCTTCCCATAAGCTCCACATGCTCCTGGCAAAGCCACAGTGTTCGTTCTGTATGCACCAAACGTGTACATTCAGTGGTTTGGTCAAGCGGGAGTTGTTTTGTGCTGCGCTGCGTGGAAATCTTTTAAAGCCTCCCTTTTTCTTTGATGTCGAGCGGTTTTTGAAGCTCAGGGTGTAAGCAGCTTCCTACATGACCCAGTATTTGAGACCTGACGTGTCATGGTGATGCTCGCAGCTAGCCTTGTGACTGCTTAAAACACCCGGACACAATAACCTTATTTCAGAAAAGTCAATCACGCTAAAGGCTGAGGCTTTACCTCAGTTGCCCCTTGTGGTGTGAACTGGGTTCATGATCAGGGTGTCACTGACAAAAGCAATTACTCCCACTTATGTAAGTGTGAAATGGTAAATGGACTTGAGCTTGTATAGCGCTTCTTTAGTCTTCTGCCTGCCCAAAGCACTTTTACACTGCAGGTCACATCTACCCATTCACACACTGATGGCAACAGTTGCTATGTAAAGTGAGCATCAGCAGTAACTTATCATGTTCTTACACCGCCGCAGCAGAGGGCTCAAATTGGGGTTAATCATCTTGCCCAAGGACACATCGGAGCCACAGCCACCCCACAATATAAATATATAAAGTGTAAAGAGCATGTTTTTTTTAACATTTGGATTTTGCTCTGATCCATTTTTCTGTGTTTTTGCTGACAGGTCACTGGACTTGACAGGACCCCTGCTGTTAGGTGGAGTTCCCAACCTACCCGAGGACTTCCCCGTCAGGAACAGAGACTTTATGGGCTGCATGAGAAACCTCAGCATCGACAGCAAACCCATTGACATGGCTAGCTACATCGCTAACAATGGCACCACAGCAGGTTAGAACTCATTCAAAGTCCATGCTAACTCTTGTCGGGTTAAACTAAAGACATGAAGGGGTGCTACTTTAAAATTATTTTAAGAACCAGAGGTGCAGCAATGAAGGAGACAGACAGAAACAAATGTTATTCGATTTTTCTGTCTTTCAATACTTCAGTGAACAGTTCGATAAAGGTTCATACAGACATTTGTTGATATTTTTTTTTTTTTGTTTCCCATGTCAGGCTGTCCGGCAAAGACAAACTTTTGCACTAACGACGTCTGTCAGAATGGAGGAGTGTGTGTCAATAAGTGGAACACCTACAGCTGCGACTGCCCGAATGGTTATGGAGGCAAGAACTGTGAACAAGGTAAGAAGGGGGGGGGGGTGGGGGTTTTTTTCTTCCAAAAATTCATTATGACTCATGCATCAGTCACATCAAAGCCTCTGCTCCCTTATGAAAGACACTAAACATGGCCAGAGGTCTGATGATTTCAATATGACTCACCTATAATACAATACCACAAAACCAGGCAGGCAGAAAGACAGGGAGATATAGACATATACAAATGGATGGATAGATAGATGGATGGATGGATGGATGGATGGATGGATGGATGGATAGATAGAGCACTACAGTTGCAAGAATTACCATTTTCACTCCATACCCACCTCATTTATCTCTATTGTCAGGAGAGAACATTGGTCTCCTGCTTCAGGGCAAGTTTACAAACAATGTGTGGGAGGTATGAATACCTCTCCTCTTGCTTTCTTGTCAAGGAGTTAGCGGCCCAGCCCGGTGCCGCTCCGGTATCCAGTGTCTGAACTGGGCCTGGATCACAGCAAGTTGGAGGCAGAGTTTTGGCTGCCCTGTTTTCTAGTTGACATATTTGGTTGGAGGCGTCCTACACCGAGCTGCCACATAAGAAACAAGATACTTGATACTGTGTATGTTACACCATGAAAGGAAAAAAAAAAAAAAGAGTATAAAGTTTCCTACTCAGTCATGGGGAATTTATCTAAATTTAGTACCCATCTAATTCTAACACTGAAATAAGTAATAAGAAGCTCTGACACTTGTCTGTTTTACTTTCTCTTTTACTTAACTGAAGAGGATAATTGTGCGGGACAGGTGATGATGTGATGTAGGCCAACTATGAATTCTCTTTGTATCAAACATAGAACTCCGATATCTCCTGGATGTGTACGGGAAAGGCTGTCGGAGAATCACACTGATCTTCCACTCACAAAATATCACACAGATGACTCCCTAGAACCTTTTTTGCCCACAGCCACATTCTTATGCTTTTCTCCCTCTCTTGTCCAGTAATGCCATCCCCTCAGTTCTTTGACGGCCAAGCCCTGATCTCCTGGAGCGACACGGACATTACTGTTGCAATTCCCTGGTACATCGGCCTCATGTTCCGAACAAGGCAGCCAGCCGGAACCTTGATGCAAGCCAATGCTGGACTGTCATCCACTATTACTCTTATGGTAAGATACAGTGTGAAGTAAACTTGTTTATTAAAGGTTAGTTATACATTCTTAGATTCGTGTATCACTTTCTCAGTTATACAATTTAAATGTGAGCCTTGTCATTGGTTTTTCATCCTCAGGTGAGTGAGCAGCAGGTACGCATGGAGGTGATGCTGAGACAGCAGCTAGTGGCCTCGCTAGGCTTCCCCCAAGTTAGGGTCAATGACGGCGAGTGGCACCACTTGCTGGTTGAACTGCGAAGCATTAAAGACGGCAAGGACATCAAATACATGGCTACTGTGTTCCTGGACTACGGCATGTACCAGGTAAAAGGAACTTATATCACGCAGACAGGTGTGGGATCATTTCTTTTTGAAAATGCTCTAACTCAGTTTCCGTTTTTTTTTTGTTTTTTTTGAAGCAGAAGTCAGTGGAAATTGGTAATGACCTCCCAGGGTTAAAGCTGCAAACCCTTCACATAGGAGGTTTGCCTGGAAAGGGAAACCACGTCAACAAAGGATTTGTTGGCTGCATACAGGTTTGGGAAATTTTCACTTTCTTTGTTTTGCCTACTGGTTTCCCCTTCATTCTTGTCCGATGTCTTCTACCTCACCATCGATGTGTGCTCTCCGTCTAGGGTGTGCGCATGGGTGAGACGTCCACCAATGTGGCCAACGTGAACATGGCTCGAGGCTTGAAGATCCGCGTCGAAGAGGGTTGCGACCTGGCCGACCCCTGCGATTCCAACATCTGCCCCGAGAACAGCCACTGCAGCGACGACTGGAGCACACACACCTGCGTCTGCGACCCAGGTAACGCGCACTTTCCTCCAACGCATGCACTTAAAAGTAGCTCCTGGTGAGCGAAGTGTCATTCCTCTCTCTGTTCTGCAGGCTTCTTTGGAAAGGAGTGCACAGATGCCTGCCAGCTCAACCCTTGTGAGCACATTTCCACCTGCACCCGCAAACCGAGCTCTTCCCATGGCTACACCTGCGAATGTGGACAGAACTACTATGGACAGTACTGTGAAAACAAGTAATGGTCCTCCTCTTGCTGAATTCTGATTTTTTTTGTGTGTGTAAAAGGAACATTTATCTTTAAGTGCATTTTAGGAAAGTAAGTTGTGAAAACCAAGCAAGTGGAAAAATGAAAGGTGAAATTAGGAAGTCCATAATATATAAAGCAGGAGGTGATGTGTTGTTTTGCACTGGCAGCATTGTCTAAAACCTCCCAGGAATAAGCAAGCCTTGATTGAGAAGTCAGTCTTCCCCCTGACCCCTATGATATGCATCACTTCCTGTCTTGAACAGGATGTGGGATTCCCCCCCCGCCCCCCGCCACGCCACGCCTGACTGCTTCTCCAAACATGTTTTGTCACTGCTGCCCTTATACTGCCTCTCATCGGATCAGCAGATCGCATCTCTCAAGAGACAAAGACTGTTTATATATGTCTGTAGTATGAATAATTTAAACATGATTTCACTGATTTGAAAATATAGAGGAAGTTTATGCTGGATGAAAGGGCACAAAAGACTGCAATTATGAGATGGATCTAACCTAGCCAAGTTGAAAGCGTTTTGTTCAAGCTGATTTAAAGTTCGTTCCGTGGCACTTCTCTTTCGTTCCAAAAAAAAAAAACGTTTTGAAAATCAGTACTTACCTAAACACCATCTTTTTTTCGTCTTTCTTTTTATCCCATGGTTATCAAATAATGGGAAAATATTTGATTTGGTTGATATTAGAATACAAGTTCATGACTAGAAAGAGCAAAGAAAAAAAATATACTGTTAAAGTCCCCATGAACAACACATTGGGAAGTTGTTATGGGAAACTTTAAAGTATGTACAACAGTGTGTACAGGAAATGGCAAATGTTAACCCAATATATGGTATCAACCAACATTAAGCAAAACATCAAACATTTTAACTGCTACATGTCCAAATGTGTCTTCTAGCTTGTCATTAAGACACACTGAGACGTGCTTAAGACGTACAATTTGGTGAAGAGCAGTTAGTGTGCAGAGGCGTTTAGATCTTTTTATTAGAGGCGTAAATGATTGCTTGAGAGAGTTTATTTATCCACCAAAACGTCCAGGTCAGATGCCTCTTCATTACTCTCTGATGAGATATTTGCTTTATGAAACAAAGGAGAATCTTATTGGGAAGTTGTCTTTAGGTTTGAGCCTGAGAGGGATTTTCACATTGTCATCTGATGATATATTGTTTTTAATGTGTCTCTTTCTTTCATGTCAGAGTGGAGAGGCCATGTCCTCAGGGCTGGTGGGGCAGTCCTGTGTGTGGACCTTGTAACTGTGACACCAGCAGAGGATTCCACAAAGACTGCAACAAGACCAGTGGAGAGTGTCGCTGCAAGGTACATGATTTGACATTTCACCCCTTTGTGAAGGAAAAAAAAAAAAGAGAGAGCTTTTTCAAACTCACCTTCTTTTTTGTTACCACAGATGTAAAGAACATTGTTTAAATCAGCACTGTGCCTGTGCTATTTTGCCAGCAAGAGAATATTACATTTAACAAATGAAACTATACAATATGCATCTATGAATTGAAATGAATGAAAAAAAGTCACTTAATTGAATATACTGCTGGAATGTGGGGTTTTCTGTTTCCCCTTTTTCGAGGTTGGTTTCACCAGCAGCTTAGAAAGTCTTATTTCAGTAAACGTACCAAATCATGGTACATCCTTCTGTTTGTCAATCTGTCAATATATTTCCCTCTTCCTGCAGGAGAACCACTATCAGCCAGAAGGTGAAGACACATGCTACCCATGCGAGTGTTTCTCTATTGGCTCTGAATCCAGAACATGCGATCCAACCTCTGGGCAGTGCCCCTGCAAAGGCGGAGTTATCGGTCGCCAGTGTAACCTCTGTGATAACCCCTTTGCTGAAGTCACACCCACCGGATGTGAGGGTATGTGAACCTCCAATGTTTTTGTCATGACGTGTATTGTATTGTATTGTACATGTATTAAAATGTGATCTCCCCGGATTTTAAGATTTTTAAAAATGTAAGATGATCAAAATAAATACTTGAGATGATTAAAAGCTCAAACAAAATCCCTGAAGGCTGAAATAATGAAAGAAAACTTTCAACTTTTTCCTCTAGATGTGTAAATACTTAAACGATCCGTGCAAGAGATATCGTTTTGAAAAATAATGTGACATTTGAATGTCGAACATTCAAGTTCACAGAGTGAACTCCGGATGTCAAAGTAGACAAATAGTGTCACTCACATCTCCCTGGTGTTGCACTTGCCCTTACTCCACATCTTTGTCGCCGGCCAGTCAAGCAGCAGAGGCAAGTCTGGCTAGTGGGCTAACTTGGCAGAGAGTCTGCATATAAACAATACAGCAGAGATGAATAGAAGACAAAGCCACAAAGTCCTGGTTGACACAATACCAAGCTAATCCAAGTCCCACAACGTGTTTGGACTTGTAATTGATCTAAATCCTTTAATGTTAATGATAACTACACTTCTTTTCAAAAAAAAAAAAAAAAAAGAAGATTCCCTGTATTCTTTGTTGGCCAGTTTAAGTTCATGTGGCATTCTGAAAACGATATTAAGCTTATTTGATGATTCGAAAATGATTTAGAAAGCCACATGTGTAGTGAATGGAGTGTGTTAAGTCAGGATTTAACTTGAAACATTTCTTAAAATGGTATTTCTTTCCTCCACAGTGGTGTACGAGGGCTGTCCCAAGGCATTCGACTCAGGCATCTGGTGGCCCAAGACCAAATTTGGACTCCCTGCAGCCATGAACTGTCCCAAAGGATCCATAGGTGAGTGCTTTTAAACTCCATCAGATACACCAGAGTAATATAAGTCATTAGTTAGCTCTGCGGTTTCGAAGATGCTTTTGAAAAATGGAGAGAGGTTAGAGTACAAACCGGTTTCAAGACCGACGCAGAGCTGGCTAAACACTGCAGCTTCAAGAAAAAGCTCTTTGTATTTGTTCCACCTTTACGATAGCAGCATGCTATACCTTTAAAGTGAGCTTGCTCTATGCAGGTTTTTCTTAATGACAGTAATTAGACATTGTGATTGGACCGTTAATCCAAAAGAGCTTCTCATTGGCCAATCATGTACAAGCCTGTCTCCACATTGTCTTTCCTGAGTCCATAAGGAGCTGACAGTAAAACATGTCCTCCAGTGATGCGTGGGTGTGTGTTCTTTTAAAAAAAAGACGGACAGTTGAGGTGAACTCAAGACTCCGGATGACTGACCTGTTACCAGTAAAGCTTTGTGACTGTGCCGGTTACCCCTTTAGTTACTGCAGTTACCATGGGGACCCCTTTTGTTTGCTTCCCCAGACTCATTGGGGGGATTTATATGCATCCATTGCTTTTACACCCCCTCACTGAGTTTTAACTGGGAAGTTGTATCATGTGAAGAGAGTTTAGACGACTAAGTCTTATCTGAAAACTTTCTGACATGTTTGTGTCTAGATTATATTATTGATCTGGGGAATTCTCTCATGTGTGCCCTCGCTCTTGCTCTCTTTGAGTCTGCATCAATAATTGTATTTTAAATAATAATTTGATGTTTGACGCAGGTGCTTCAAACGTGTCTGTGATACAAAAAATGTTGTATTTGTATTTCATAGGTACCGCCATCCGCCACTGCAGCAATGAAAAGGGCTGGTTGTCCCCTGAACTCTTCAACTGCACCACTATCACCTTCTCCCATCTCATGAAACTGGTCAGTACAAGACAAGAATTTTCTGTTTTTGTGTGAGTGTTACTGTTTCAGCCTAGAATGTCTCAGTCCATCCACCCATCCATCCATTCTAATTTCTTCCAGAACGAATACCTGCATCGCAACACCTCCAGGATGGACAGTGAACACTCCAAGAACATTGCGCATTTGCTCTACGGCGCCACCAATAACACGAGCATTACTACGGCAACGACGTGAAGACGGCCGCCCAACTTTTGAACCGGGTGCTGCAGTACGAGAGCCGGCAGTCGGGGTTCAAACTCACTGCCATGAGGGATGCAGAGTTCAATGAGGTAAGAAAAAAACAGGACACAAACATTATGTACAGATCCACTTGATTATCTTGGCTGTCCTGGATTGAATTACACTTCTATATGTGAATTGAAATTCCTAAAGCCTTTAGACATACACTCTTTTGCACTGCACACTGCCCTCTCCTGGTGAACTAGCAACCTGATCCATCACTTATTTAATAGTGTCTTTGCAATGAATATGCATGGTGTGCATTAAATATGATAAAAAATAATGTGCATTTATATGTCTTAAAATCCTTCATCTGTGTAATTTGTTACCTCTTTCCAGAACGTGGTGCGAGCAGGTAGCGCCTTGCTGGACCCTGACAACAAGGATCACTGGGAGTTCATGCAGAAGACTGAAGGTGGCACAGCTCACCTGCTGCGTAACTTCGAGGACTATGCCAACACCTTGGCGCAGAACGTTAGGAAAACCTACCTGAAACCCTTCACCATCGTTACAGAAAACATGAGTGAGTGAAAAAGCTGTAGTCACACTGTTTGTAACAAAGACACATGATTACACCTGTCCTGACTTTCTCACCCTTTTTTTTCCCCCGTCCATTTATTGCTTTGCTGCTATGTAGTTCTTACCGTGGACTACTTGGATGTGTTGGACCCTGAGAGGGCGACTTTACCTCGATTTCCCGAAATCCAGGAGCCCTATTCTAGAGAACTTGGGTCCTCCATCCACTTCCCCCAGTTCAATCTCTACAGTCAGGGCCACAGAGGTAGAAACGCTGACGCAACAAGAACCATCAAATGTGTTGTTTTTTAATATCATGCTACAAAATGAAGTAAGTGTAAACTCTATTGCTATCCCCTCTCAGCAGAGCCAACCCTCGCCCCTCCAACTCAGACCGATTCCCCACAGGAGGAACACACAGTGTCGGATAGGAAACGGAGACATCTGGATCCAGCTGTCCCTTTGCCGGTTGCTGTGGTGATAGTGTACAAATCACTGGGGAAGCTCCTACCAGAGAGATACGACCCTGATCGCAGAAGTCTGAGGTAGACGACTGACTACAAGTGAAGGCTCACTAGCTACTTAACTGCCATATTCTAGATTCTTGGTCTGCTGGGAACAACATAGAAGTTGTGAAAATGGAATTTCAAGATATGACTAATGTCAGATCACCTCAATTAAATGATGAAAACAAGACCTGTTGGTTATTTTTGCATCTAGGTTGATAATTCATGCATGTTCTTATGTCCCCCCAGGCTCCCCAACCGCCCCGTTATCAACACAGCCATCGTCAGTGCCACGGTGCACAGCGAGGGTCCTCCTATTCCTCCTGTCCTGGAACCCCCGGTCACCTTAGAGTACACCTTGCTTGTGGAAGAGGAGAGAACAAAACCTGTCTGCGTTTTCTGGAACCACTCCATAGCGTGAGTTTCATTGAAAACACCCAAAAAAGGCACACAAGTATGACTCCTTTCGAAGACAGTGCACGGTCTTAAATGATGAATCTGTTGTTTTTTGTGTCCGTTGGTGTGTTTAGGATCGGAGGAACAGGCGGCTGGTCCTCTAAAGGTTGCGAGGTGCTCAACAGGAACAACAGCCACATTAGTTGTCAGTGTAACCACATGACCAGCTTTGCTGTCCTCATGGATATTTCCAAAAGAGAGGTATTGTTGAAAAGATGACTCATATTAACTTCTCGTTCTTTGCCTTATGATGATGTCTTTTTTTGATGCCTTCCTTCTCCTTTTCTTTTTTTTCTTTTTACAGAATGGCGATGTTCTGCCCCTGAAGATCGTCACCTACACTACGTTGTCAGTCTCCCTCTTCCTCCTCCTGCTCACCTTCATCTTGTTGTGCCTCTTGCGGCGGCTCTGCTCCAACCTGCACGCAATCCACAGGAACCTGGTGGCAGCGCTGTTCTTCTCTGAACTCGTGTTCCTCCTTGGCATCAATCAGACTGAGAAACCGGTACGTTCATTTCTATATGTAACAGGGAATGATGTGCAGGTATGCATGCTTTCTATCTGCGACATGCTCCAATTATATACAGCTTTTAGCTAATGTTTCAATAGTAAATTCCCCCATATATCATGTTACATTGCTTTATATTTCAATCGTGCAAAAAGATTGTAACAAATGACCTACCCCCTATTCTTGGTTGCTATGACAGCCTGTAGACTAGTCTTTATGAAAAAGGAAAAACTAGGATGTTCCTAACCTCCTTTCATTTTTTTCTTCTAGTCGGCTAATTCTATTGATAGCTTAGAAATATGGAGTCTGCTTAATTCAACAAATGTCCAGCCGCCACAGGTTCTGTTTTTGTGTCTGGTAAAGCCCTTAAGGAATGTGCCAATGCCTGGATAAAACTTTGGTCTACAGGGGGGGTTAGCTTCCCTGCTGACGCACATGAATAGCAAGCAAGCTAACCGTTAGCAAGGGCTGACTTACCGACTTGGCGTTTGCAGTGTTGAAGTGCTGTTCAAGGTAAACAGCATTTCAACAATAAAGAAATGTACATATTATTATGGATAACATGGACATTATTATTATTATACATTTATACATTTCTAATTGAGTTTGGAGTTGGGTAGTTCACACGCATGCTACTGTATAGACAAACAGAAAAAGGATCAAAAGGTGTGGGAATTCCTTAAAGGCTGCTGACACAGACACAGACTCAGACTCAGACTCACGCACACACACACACACACACACACACACACACACACAATCACACATACATCTTCAGTAGCAGAGACATGCTGTGACTGGTACCTGTCTCCAGAAGCAGGTCTCAGGTTAGAGGCACTGACAACGATTTCCCAAGACCCTTCTTAGTTAGCATTATGCTCAAACTTATACATTTCTGTCAAATAGAGAAACTCCTGAATCTGTTCACTGACTGATAATCCTGTTTTTTTTTTTGTCTTTGTTTGGGGCTTTTTAAGCTTTCAATACAAATAGAAACACATTTGACCCTGTAGGAGGGGTCAGACAGGTCAAAGTATTTAACCTGCCAGATAAGACTTGGATGTTTATGGCACACCAGGTCATATTTCATATCACTTCTTTAAAAAAAAAAAAAAAAAAATCAAAGTTAGCGTTGTTGCTCATGGGTTCCAGCTGCATTTTTCTCTTCTGATTTGGGGCACTCGTCTGCATTCTCCAAAAGCTAACCCATAGTGGAAAATCAGGGCTAAATGCTAATCCTGGTGTACACCGCATGCCGAGTGTGTTGAATTGAACAACAGTACATTTTATAGCTAACAAGCGCTACTATCGTTTGTTAATGGGAACATTTGTTTTTTTTCCCCCTTCATTCATAATTAACTGTGTAACTTCAAAATGAATGTGTCAGCTCCGGGAAAAGAAAGGAAATGTTAAAAAAAAAAAAAAAAACAGAATTTAAGCTTTTTTTTTTTAAGAAATAAGCTTTAACTTTTATTCCCTCCACGTCTGGGTAAATCACAAGTTCTCTCATCCCAAATATGTATACAAATGAAAGAAAAGTATGGAGCCCCTGAAGTCCCAAAAAGTAAAAAGAAATATCGTGTGCCCACAATATCATTATTTTGCGCCCACAAGATTTATTTTATTTTATTTTTTTACTTTTTGGGACTTCAGGGGCTCCGTGGAAGTGACCTTTTGTGAAATTAAGTTTTTTTTTAAGTTGTACTTTGCCAACAACAAAACTTGGGCCAAAATATCAGGATAAAAAACGTTCGAACATGTACTGATGTTGGGACTACGCGTGCTTTGACTGGAATAGTTTCGCGATATAGGTAAAAGCTGAGTCTGCAGAAAGATTTCTTTTCAAAAGCAGGAGAGAGTCTAAAGTGTTTGTTTTGCCAACGTCTCTGAATATAAAGGTGCATGTTTGTGTGTGTGTGTGTGTGTGTTGTGTGTCGCTGCAAGTGTGTCAGAGCTGTGGAATGCTGCTCGAGTCAGCCCAGGGCAACCTGCAGGATGATTTATAGCCCTGTCAAAGTAGTGTCTCTCTGATCTCAACAACAATACACACCACAACTTAACATACAGTAACTGCTGGGATATTCCCCCTGACACATTGCATTCCTCTGATACAGCAGCACACAGGGAACATGAGGAGGGTGGGGGGGATGAGATTAAGAAATGTTTGGATAGGTTGAACATCACTTGGTTTACATCAACTGGTAACATGTTTTTAAAAGACTTTGAGGTTACTACCATCAGGTATGCAAATATCACTAAACGTAATTTTCAATCTTTTTTTAAAATGTTGTAAACTGCACTTGGATGAATGACAAGGGAAAGCAGGAAAGATAAAAAAAAACATCTGAAAAATAAAGCTCTCGTGAATAATCTATCTGAGTTCCATTTCAATGTGGACCAATCCTTACTGATTCCATCCCTGCGTCTTTTCTCTTCCTCTCTTCACTGTAGTTTGTATGTTCAGTGATAGCCATCCTCCTCCAGTACTTTTACCTGTGCACCTTTGCCTGGATGTTCGTGGAAGGGCTCCACATATACCGCATGCTGACCGAGCTGCGGAACATCAACCACGGCCACATGAGGTTCTACTACGCCATAGGCTGGGGTATACCAGCTGTGATTACAGGTAAGACACTAAAAACAGTGGAGACATACACAGCAATGTAACCTGTCAGGCTGTCAGTCAGGATTCAGGCTCTGCCTTGTCTTTTCTGGATAGATTAGATATTTCACCTCATAGGGAAAGTATTGAACATGACAATAAATGTGTGTGTGTGTTGTGTTTGAAGGTCTGGCAGTTGGTCTTGACCCTGAGGGTTATAGGAACCCAGATTTCTGCTGGCTCTCCATCCATGACCATCTCATCTGGAGCTTCGCAGGACCGATCTTTGTAGTTGTACTGGTATGTACGTTAACAATTTAAAGCACACTTTAGTCCCTCCGTTGTAGATAATCACAATGATGAAGAGTGTGAAAATGAAATACGCCGCAACGTAATCATTTGAAATGTACGAGAGTCAATTCATTTCTCCTTCTTCCTGCCTCTCTGAAAAGGTCAACATAGTGATTTTCATCCTGGCTGCAAAGGCCTCATGTGGTCATAGGCAGAAGGCTGTGGAGAGGTCAGGAGCAATGTAAGTCTTTTTTTTTTATTATGATTTCATATCAGGCACAAAATCTCAAATTCTGATAAAGTACACGTATAACTTTGTGGTCTCGTTAAAGAAGCTGCGCATTTTCCTTCCTCAGTCCGGCACTCCGAATGGCCTTCATCCTTCTGGTACTCATCTGTGCGACCTGGCTGCTTGGCCTACTGGCGGTCAACAGTGACGTAATGACCTTCCACTATTTGTTAGCTGTTTTCAGCTGTCTGCAGGTAACTCATCGTTCATTGTTTAAACCAGGGCATCACTGTCTTTACTGCCACTATCTGATCATTTTACTATTTGATAATGACAATAAAGGCTTCCTATTCTATTCTACGCACGCTTGTTTATCACCATCTCTTTTACTCTTTGCTCATGTCACAGGGAGTCTTCATCTTCTTCTTCCATGTGATCTTCAACAAAGAGGTAAGGAAGAACCTCAAGAACTTCTTCACAGGGAAGAAGAGCATACCAGACGAGTCCAGCACCACGAGAGCATCTCTGCTCACAGTGAGTAATTACATCAGAATATGTCCCCGGGTTTAGTCCTGACATTTCTGCATTCTTTTTTTTTAATCAATCATGAAAAACATTTAGATTTAACATTTTGTTGTTGTTATCCGTCCCTGCCTTTTCCCCCTCTTCCCTGGTCCTTCTGCAGCGCTCTCTCAACTGCAACAACACGTACACAGAGGACGGGGCGTTGTACCGCTCAGGCATCGGAGAGTCCACTGTCTCCCTCGACAGCACACTCAGGTCAGCCAAGAGCCGCAGCAGCTACCTGGCATTCACACTCAGGTACAACACGCTGACTGACTGCATGGCTGCTTCTACTACATTTCTGCATGACAAAGTGTCTGGATGTCTGCACCTGTGTTTAGTGTCCACTTCCTTTTCTTCGGTCTTCCTCTGTTCTGCGGGTGCATCAAATGTCTCACACATACTAACACATCCAAAAAGCCCTTGTCTTTCTTTTTACAAACACACACACACACACACACACACATACAGCTTCACAGTATCCTTTCATGATTTATTGCAGGAGGCAATAAGTTCCGTTCTATTGGGAGGCTTTGTTTTACTTTTCTTATGTACATGCATGCTGCATTAAAAAAAAATCTGGATTATTCAGGGCATGGCGCATGGCTTCATGGCTAAGACACCACACAACAAAACTGCAGAAAAAGATGAAGCTTTCAAATAAATGTCAATACTGTGTAGTTTTCAATTCATATGTTAATGTTAATTTTGAAGTATTACATAAAAAGCTGCATTGCCTTTGGAAAAAATGAGTGAAAACACGTTTCCTAAATAAGTTTGAAAGTTGTGAACATTCATCTCGTCCTGTGCTGCAGAGGCGTTTGCAGAGGGGTGGCCAGGGGTGGCATGACCCACCTTAGAGATGTGATTGGCCACCCTAAGGGCCACCCCAAAAAGCCTAGCTTGGCTATTCGCTCTGTGAGAGGCGGGGCTTATGCTAAAACCAACTATTAGGGGTTTTTTCTTGCTGCAAGTAGTTTTCTTTCCATATCAATGTAGCATATTTTCTTTGTGTTTTTTTTTTTTGTGTCAGGATTAAAACATAGGAAGTTACTGTAGACAGTGCAGGAGTTTGTATGCATGTTTGAAGAACTTTAAATTGTTTCTTCGAACGTAAAACTTATTTTTGTCTCGTTAAAAAATGAAGCTTATGTTGCCATTATCTCATGATATAAAGCAGAAATGATTTGTGAGGTTAGAATGGATGGAAATGTTCAATGGAAACATAGGTTAAGTAATTTAAGCCATCCAAAAATAGGTGAAGCTGAGGTTTTTTTTTTTTCCAGCGTGTGTTAATCTACCGCGCTGAAGAATAAGCATGTGGAACTCGAGCACCTGGACAAGTGTATGCACAGTTTTTCGCCGATAAAGATGACATATTGAAGATATATGTCTGCCAGGATTTATCTCAGGATAACCTTTCCAGTGTACCATGTACAGCTGTGTGTGTTTGAGTGTCTAACACGTATACGTTTTCATTTTAGTGGTGTGGTGTTACATATAGCTGGTACTTTAAAGGAGTTTTTGAGAAACAAGATGATGCCTGACTGTATGCCTCTGCTTGTAAAGCTGTCATTTAGGTAATGTGAGTTGACAGTAGGGTCATTGAGAGCAACATGGCCAGGGGGGGGACAGAATGAAGCACAAGCAGCGGGAAGTTAGAGGATTAGATTCCCCCCGGAATTAAAGGCGACAGGTGGAGAGGAAAAGAAAGAGAAGATTTAACCATCGGCTTTGATTTGTTGGAGTGAATATTAATGGCAATTTTTAGTTTTTTACAATCAGCTCTTCGGTTTCCATCAACATTGTACTTCTCCTCTTTGCCTTTTCTTACCCCCCCTCCTTCTACCTTTTCTTTCTCCTTTCTTGTCCTCCTCTCCCTCCCTTCTTCTTATATCTATTTTCATCTCTGAAGGGAGGAGTCTGGTCAGAAGCCCAGTGTCTCCTCAGGAACAGCTAAAGGACACACAGACATGGATGGACCTCTGTTCCACAGAAAGGGCACCAAAGGAGATGGTAATTTGTTCCCATGTCTTTCTTGACTTATTAGATCATGTGTGTTAGGGCTAAATCATTTGCTTGCTTATCCAAATATAAGCCTCAGTGTGTTTTAGAGGTTCATCTTTCTACCTCTTTCCCTTCCCTCCTTGTCCCTGTCAGACTCTGACTCTGACAGCGAGCTGTCAGTGGATGAACACAGCTCCTCCTATGCCTCCTCACACTCTTCTGACAGCGAGGATGTTGACATGGACGTCAAGCCCAAGTGGAACAACGAGAGACAGCCAATTCACAGCACACCTAAAGGTAAGAGCGCTTCTAATGAAGAGAACACATTTAAGGCACTTGTTCGTAGGTTTATCAAAGTAAAGTTGTCACATTTGTTTGAAAGCTTTATTTCACTTTTATATTCATATTTTATGAATCATCAAGCACTTAAATTATTTGGCATACACAACCAACAACAATGAGCACAGCCGGCTGGCCAGCTCATCCCCTTGGGTATACAATCTGTTTTTCTCACTACTTATTTGAACGTCACGTAAGCGTTCTTAGATCATGGTCATGCTGTGTAAATGTATATGCAATGTGAAGCTAAGACCAAACTACAGAGCGCTACCATTAGCCTGCTAACACAACAATGCAGCTCAAAACTAGGGCAATTTTGTCCGCTGCTTGCGCTTGGTGCTTAATTATGGTGTGTTCCAATTTGATGACTCCCTTGTGCAAACACGAGGGGAGAGGGGTTGGAGGTGTGTCGCCGTAGGAGAGCGGAGGCTTCAGTGGGGCGGAGGTGTCGCCAAAGAGCACTTTGTTTCGGTTTCGTGCTGGTGCTCAGGGGCGACATCTACTGGATCAAAAAGTTGCACGTTCTTCTTTTAAAGGACAATTGAGTCAATTTAAGAGGGAGGGAGAAATGGGAAGTTATCGTCCTGTGTTGTTTTTTGTTACCTTGTGTCCTTATATGTATAGAGTGTAACAGGGCGCTTTTTTGTGTACATTAGAACAGTGGTTCCCAACCTTTTTCCCTTGGAGCTTCCTTATTTGTATCAAAAAAAAAAAAAAAAAGCTGAGCATTCCCGGCCCCAGGTCCCACTGCGAAGAAAAGTTATACTTGAACAAACATTTCAATTGTTTTCATTGACTGAAACTGGATACTGAATATATTTGCCCTTACTTGCCCTCATTTGTACAAACTGAGCCCAGATGTGACACCAGTTCCTGGGAAAGCTCGTTTTCGCAGTTTTGCAGAAAAATTGATCCTTTTGCAACCCCACTACTAGTTTGCCACTGCACACTGGTCCTTTAAGGAAAGAATCTAATGACTCCACCCAGTGAGCAAGCTTTTTGCACCAGCACAGCAAGGAATGTAGATCACAGTGCCAGTAAAATGTCCTTACCAGAGGCACTTGAACATGTAAAATATAATGTATTGTAATATCAGAAACAATGGAGATCATGAGGCAGATTGGAATTTTGTTCTAATATTGCTGCTTTTTTATACCTGTCTCCTCTACCAGTGGATTCAGTATCCAATCATGTGAAGCCTTACTGGCCAACAGAGGCCACCACAGCCAGTGACAGTGAGGATCATGGTGGGGCCGAGAGGTTAAGGGTAGAGACCAAGGTGAATGTGGAGCTACATGCGGAGAGTAAGCTCAACCACATTGGGGAAAGAGAGAAGGAGACTCTCCAGGAAAGAGACAAACAAACAGCCGGTAATGTTAGAGACATAGCGCCCACTAGCCAGCCCAACAGCAACAGCACCCACCAACCAGAGCAAAGAAAAGGTATGTTTACAGAATTACCTTTGGTTAACAAAATGGACAGAAGTAATTGTGTGATTTACATTGGATTTCTGTGCATCTTAGGTATCTTAAAGAACAAGATCAGCTACCCTCCTCCACTGACCGACAAGAACATGAAGAACCGCCTGAGGGAGAAGCTGGGCGACTACAACACCCCGACTATTACCTCCCCTCCTCCTCCGAACAACAACCACACCTCTCCGTCACCTCCCTCCTCTCTCAACATCATGACCCCTTCATCCCAGCCTCCCGCTCTGGCCCTGAACGACGGCAGTCGCCCGAGCAACCACGACAACAGCGCCCCCGTCAAGCCACCCACGGGGACAAAGCCGCAGATTCCCACTGGGCCCCCGACGGCGGGCATCTACCGAGAGACCAACGGAGGGGTCGCAATGCATTTGAAGACAGAGGCACTAAATGGAGGCAACGAGTCTGACTCAGAGTAAGACGTTCTTCACAGAGTAATAGCATGTTAATAGCTTGTTAGCATTCTAAAACCCTCATCTTTCATCTATTTCTTCTGTTAACAGCGGCAGTAACGAGACTTCAATCTGACCCGCTAGGACAACGCAGATCAGCCCCGTCTTTGTGAGAGATGGAATGCAGAACCTGAATGCCTGACAGGTTTCTGCAGATGGTTTGAAATTTGGGAAGGGGGGGGGGGGGGAAGTATTCTCCGAGTCAGTCAGTCAATCAATCCCTCCTTTAATGTTTCCTCTCTCAGGAGAGCAGTATTAATTTGCAGACTTTAAGACTGCCCAAGACAAGACAATGAACAGACAATGGAAAGATGTGAGAGAAATTAAAAGGGAAAGCTATGTTTGACTTTACTACGAGAGGATACAATGGAGCCATATGTGCCAAAAAGCCACTGTTGGAATGGAGACGAAGAGTCAGAAGATGAAAAAAGAACCCCGGGCCATGATGCACTACAAGGCACAAACTGTTGTTGATGCGTGGTGGTTATGTATGTGATGGCTCTTTACATTGACCTATCAACAAAGCCTGTGTGACGTAAGTGGACAGCTTGTTTCTCCTGAATAAAGGCAGAAGTTTATTTTCCTGTGCATGAACACGGAGTCAATCATGCACCAAGGCATTGTGCTGTCTGAAAAGATTTCAAGAACTACAAATCCCTCGATAGAAGAGTCAGACAAAATCGGATTCAGCCTGTTCTTGTTGATCTATTGCCATATCCAATGGGACTACGACACATCAAGGGCTCTTTTTCTTTCCCTTTTAACTCAGAGAAAGGCTTCCTCAGCCTCTCAACGCAGTGCATTTAGAGTGTAACGAATGAGTAGATGTTGTGAAATGTGAAAGGCAAATGATTTCTTTCTTTTTCGAGCCGCAGCAAGGACACTTTTTTTTTTAAACGAAACAAATATTTTGACTGTAAATTGGAAACGCTTATCAATCGTACAAATCACTTGACTTGCTCGTAGTGTTGTAGTACTTGAAAGCAGTCTCAGATCTCAAGACCGGACTCGAGACCAATTTATGAAGTTCTCAGAGTCTAAATCATTTTTACTCAGTCTTGTCTTGGTTATGGACTAGGCTGACTCCAGATCTTAAATCAAGACCACCACTGTTCGGTTAGTTTTCCATGTCATTACTGTGATTAGAACAAAAAATGCCCCTTTCTAAGAGAAGGAATAACTTCCATTCATTAATAATTTAATTGTTATTCCCCTGGTTACAGCTGCAACCTTCCCGGTGTTACACTCCCAATGCACACAAGATGATGATTGTCCAGTGATATTTAGGGTCTTGGTCTTGTCTCTGTCTCGCCATGCCTTGGTCTTGACTTGGTCTCAATCCCTAAATGTATCGGTCTTGTCTCGGTCTCTGAGCACTCTGGTCTCGGGCATGTCTTGGTCTTGACTACAACACTACTTGCTAGTTGAATCAGCTGACAACTGTCTCCACTGTGTGCCTTCAACCTAAGCCTTATACAGACACTCCCATCATGGATTCAAGACTTCAATATTCATGTTTAAAAGTAACCTAACATGTCGGAATAGTACACCCACACACTCTGAGACATTATTCTACTTTAAAAGCCTTTTGTTCCTCATTTGAGCACTATGAACCCTAAGCCTTCTTTCCTAGTGTCCATACTGCCTTTGTGTCCAATACAACACACTCCTGGTTACCAAAGTCATGAAATACAGTGAATGTGCACACCGACTTCACTTTTCATTCTCTTCTGTTTGTTGAATTTTTAGTATTTAGGACACATGCTTTCTTTTCAGGTATCTGATGATGGATCACAGCTGATTAACATTTGAAGTCCAAACATGACAAAGATGGACCTTTTCAGAATAAATAAAGAGTCGTTATCTAATGCTGATTTTCTGAGTTCAAAAAATAAGAAATTATGCCAACTCTTGTGCATGTTGCAGCTAATATGAGGAAACTCAAATCTTGTTTACCACTCACTGAATGCCTTTTTATTATACTGTACGTGGTGTACAACCCCAGTGTTTAGCCCTCGTGTGATCAATGCTGTTTGTAAAATGTCCCCCTTTTTTTTTTTTATTGATCTGAGACACTGGAAATGTTTTTGTAACATAATGTATATTTATTTTTTATGCTTTGAAGACACTGGAAAGTAAAGACTATTGTCTCTGTAAAATTAAAAGATGACATGAATGATTTTTAACCGTCTTGTTGCTGCTGTGTTTGTCACCCAGAAAAGGAAGTGAGGTGAATCCAAACATGCACACTTCTCCTGAAAATCAGGCATCAACTCCTCTTGTAGATCCAACCATTGATGAGTGATATAACCTATTTTTTATAGTTTAACACCCAAGAGATCCCTCTTCTGTAAAGTTTTGAAATTAGGCCCTTGATGGAAACTGTTGCCAACCTGGGGCCATATTCACAAACATTCTGAAAATCCTCTCAAAGAGCTCCTAACCTAGCTTAAAAAGTCCTAGCTTAGGAGTGATTTTGGAAAGTTTTTAGAGCAACTCTGAGCGAGGAAGGGGCCGAAACTATTTCTAGACTGTTTTCTTTTACACTGCTATATTTGAATCAACCTAGTGGCAGAAGGATTCTGTTACTTTTGGATAAAGGCAGGCGACTTGTACTTGTTTAACCATTACCAGTCTTTGTACTGAGCTAACCAGCCTCGAAAAAGAAAATAGTTTTTTCACCAAAAAATGCCAAACTGCTGTTTCTGAAGTAGCATTACGAAAATCTAACATTATTACTGAAAGGTGTTCTGGATGATTTGTTTCTTTAAAAGTCTGTTTCTACATCTTAAGTTAATCTCCTCGTCTGATACTGACCTGGTGACAGCAGCTGCATACTTGAACATAAACTATGGGGAAATAATCAGCGCTCCTTCTGATATCCTGGTTTGCTTTTAGGTCATATAAAGTGTATTATTTAATTGATTTCCTTGTGTGTCAGATAAAGTGTCTGGGCCTGAAAGTGCCAAATGTACCAAGTCCCTCACGCACACATGTCCACATTCAGAATGCTGCCAGGTAAACACCACTGTGAGCAGGCAAAATGAAAGGTTAGATGGGACGATCAGGTTTCCAAAGCCGTTAGGGCACCTTGTAGCTATGGCAACTCAAGCCGGTTCTTTCCTCAGGTGTCATTCCGATTACAGCACCTAAAATTAACTTCTCTACATGTAGTAAGTCTGTCAAAACAGGTATCACTTCATCACGTGATCTATAGTTTCACGTCTTAGTACTGATACTTGAAGGAGTTTGATAGGCAAAAGTAAGAAGTCACATTTAACTGTTAGAGTAACCATCTGCCCAGCTCTTTATCTTTGTCCCATCGCAGCCAGGCAACCTAAATAATTCAGACTCCTTACAGCCATAGTTGGCATTCTAAAGAAACTACTGTGCTTAACAATATCTGAGGTGAACTGATGCAATACCGCCATCTACTGGTGAAGACTACATTAGTATAGCATCACTATTTCTGTATTTAAAAGTCAAAATGCTTCTGTTTGAATCCTAAAGGCCCAGTTAGCAACAGAGGTTGCAGTTAAAAGTTGGATTCAAAACTAAAGTCTTGAGCTATTAACAAAAAATAAAGTTTATTTGCCTGAAATAGAGACATGTGAGTGGAAGCTGTTTAGGAAGATTCATTTATCAGTAGCCTAGTTGGTAACATTATGCAAATATCCCCACAATTTATCACTGTATTTGGCTTCCAATGTTGACAAATGACATATCACTTTTTCCTAGTATTTTCAATACATTTCACAATGCTGCAGTTTGACTTTAAAGCGCTAAATAGTTTATGGCCAAAATACATAACTATGTGATAACTAAAACATGACAAGTGACAAAAAAGACAGACTAAATCAAAGAATGTTTCAAGTCATTCTATTGTTAAATGCCTCATAGTTAGGGTTGAGAATTTTAGCTACAAAGGTTTGTATAAAATAATCAGATATTTCCATGGAAATTTGTAAAATATAACAAGAATGTTAACTTTACTTTATTTTTTTACTTTCCACCAACTCTCTACAATAATATCCAGCCAATGTAGCTGTTATGTTCACTAGCAAGGTGCTAACTTCTCTGTTTTGTGTTTGGTGCCATGCAGGACAGCACAGTCAATTTTTGAAAAAGTGCCTGTTGCAACATCGAAGAGAGAAAAGAGGTCAACGTGAGAAAACAAAGTCAACAAAGCAGGTAGCATCATTGACGGAAAGATATGGTAAATGATAAATGGACCTGAGGTTGTGTAGCTCTTTACACCACAAGTCACACATTCACACTCATCCATACACTGATGGCAGAGGTCGGTATGTAAAGTATCCATCAGCGTTCGCTAAATCCATTCATTCTCATTAATGCGCCGCTGACGTTGCACTGTGAGCAGTTTGGTGTGTCTCTGCTCAGGGTCACATCGACATGTTGAGCTGGGGATCAAGTCTCCAACCTTCAGGTTGAGAGATGGCAGACTCTACCACTGAACCCCAGCCGTCCCTGATGCAAACATATTCCCAAACAATTATTCCCATTTAATTGCTCTGTTATTTAAATCACTATACCAGATATATGTAGAAATCAAGGACTTTAATCATCGGGCTCTGTTATTTAAATCACTATAACAGATATATGTAGAAATCAAGGACTTTCACTGTTTCTTATAGGTCTACAGCAAGAAGTCAACAACATGACATGGTCCTCTCTGTCAGAGCCACAGAGATTTGCCTATAGGCACATTTTTGCAAATCTTGTTCTTTCGGCCATGTCTTCAAACTAAAAACACTTACCCTCAACAGAGGCTGAACATGGAGGATGGTAGGACGCAGCTTGTTTCTTACTACTTCAGTTTTTAAATGCAAAAAGAAACCGAGAATTCTACGGAAATGAGCAAGAACCAGAGAAATGTAGGACCCAAGAATGCACAGCTCACACAAGGGGCAAGGAGTTCAACATTGAGTCAGAGTTTAATGACACTTCAGGTGAGTACACATGGTCGATCTAAAATATGAAGAAACAATTCCAAAAGGGAGCAGGCAACAAAAAGGCAGTGATCAGAAAACAGGAAAAAACTTCTGAATGAAAACACAAGTTTCCCTCTTGTTTTTTTAGTCACAAGAAAACTTAGGACAAAACAAGGCTGGAAGAAGGCGACACCGGGGAACATAGAGGGAGAACACAGGCAATCAGGAGATGACAAGACGCAGGTGAGTATCAAGACAGGAAAGCACATGGTGGGGAAAAAAACGGATGGAGCAGGATCTGCAAGACGGAGACAAGGGTATGTAGAACAATAAAACAGGGAGTGAAAAACACCAACAATATAAATGAAAAACTTAAAACGTGACCTGGTTTTCCAGAGTGGACTGTGTCACAAATAATGATTTATTGACTTCTGCTTGTACATTTGTGATTAGGAGCTGGTGCCGCATGACAACAAGGCTGGAGTGATACTGGAGGGATCCTCAATCAGTGGTCTGTCAGCAGACAAAGAAAGCACTTGGACTTCCCGGTGACCCTTGAGCTCAGTTATGGTGTCAGGGGTCAACTGACTCTTGACTAACTCAAGTGTTTTTTCCTTTTTTCTTCTTCTATCGGTTTAAGATTTTTTTTTTTAACTTCCAGCCGCCGTATCTGACCATTTGAACCAAAATTAATTCATGTAAGTTTGGTAATTCAAGACCACTTTATCACTTAGAAACTCTAAGGCAAAAAATAGTAAGATAGGCTACCAAAAAACACTTCTAACTTTGGATTTTGTTAATTGCAGAAGTCAAGGACAATTCAGAGAATGGAAAGGAGAATGGAAAGGTTAGTGTTAATTTCTTTTGTACAGAATGTATTTTTGGGATGAGTGGGAGGGATTTTATTTCGGGGCTAAAACTAATGCTCAACTGTATTAATCTACAGGTTAAATCAACTCATTGTCTCATTTCAATCAACACAGAGGCTATACAAAAGGTCCAACTGTAGATGCCAGCTTTAGAGGAAACTTTTAAACTTATTACATATATTTTTATCAGTCTGTTGCACCCCGTTTTCAGTAACAGCACCCTGAGGAGACTAATTTTGAAAAGTGGAATTTTGAAAGTGCAATATTATTATTTTATAGGATTTAATCAGGGGTATAGGCTAGCTAGTAGAATCTGTATTTAGCCTAAATCTAGTTGAAAATCCACCACTGGAAGATTACACCAATGCATTCAAGCATTTTTTTTTTCTACAGAGGACATAAAGGTTGATCATACTACCACAATAGGCTAGTACAGGGGTGGGCAACTGGCGGCCCGGGGGCACACATGCGGCCCCCCCATCAACCCTCAACGTGGCCCTGGGGTCAATTTTTTTTTTACATATCAATTAATTGGAAACATGAAGAAAAAGAAAAATGACCAAAAATCTGCTATGAAATCATGAAAACCAGAAATATGTCCATAATAATAATGAGTTAAATTTGAGACATTATTGACTGTAATCGTTTTTTGTATCCTACAATTTGGCCCCCTGGCAGTGAGAATTAAATGAATGTGGCCCCTTGCTGTGACCAAAGTTACCCATCCCTGGGCTAGTAGGTAGGGCATGCTTTTATTCGTATTTGATAAACAGCATTGCTGAATGTAAAGACGATGCCAAGTTTGCCTTCTCTTTATCAAAACACGGGCCTGCATGCAGCCACAAGGCGGTGGTAAGGAGGGCTGTCCGTGTCACGTCGTCTCCGAAGCTCCATGCTGAAGAATCATTAACCTCTTACGGCCCCTTTAAGAAAGCAGCGCCGAACACTGACGAAATTTCTTCGGCCCTGCTCCCTGCCCGTTTCTGCGAAATCTACTAAGAGACCAGCAGGGTAGTGTCTGCAGCCTTCTGGCTTAACGGTGTTGATCAGGGGAGACCTCGCAACAGATAGGTGGACGTAACTGGTATACCAGCGTTTGCTTGCCTACCCCTCCTCGACACTCACCAGAAGACATTTAGTCGGTAAACAGAAACAAGCGACTACTGTCGGGATGGATGGACGAAATGAGCAGATTTCGCTGTGAGGCAGGCGTCACTTCAGACGTCCTGAGCAGCAGGTGTACACACGGATAAAGCAGACTAAAGGCAATCACAGTGTTCATGAAACTTTGCTACGATTTACGCGCTGGGTAAGAACACCCCCCCCCCCACCCCATATTGTTTTCTTTAACATGCTGTATTTGTT